TACGTCCAGCCTGGCCTGGAGGGCGCTTAGCTCGGGGATCATGGGCGGCGGAGGTCCTTGGACCTGAGGTGCCTGTGCCTGTGCCTGCGACTGAGGGATCTGCGGCTTGCTTTGCGTTTGGCTGCTGGTCTCGCTGACGTTGGGGTGCTCGTAGACGACACTGGATCGCTTTTGTGGCGGGGAGGATTCGCTGGTCCTCAACCTCTTGAACCAACCACTGCTTCGCTTCGATTTCTTCTCGTCGATGATGCTGCCTTGACTACGGCTCATGGGACGATTGTGGGTGGACGGAGTTTCGCCTTCTGCATATGCTTGGTTCAGTAATGTCCGGCTGAAGAGACGACGGATGCTGCCTTGTCTGCTTGACGCTGCTGGAGAGAGTGGTGTGTCATCCGAGAATCCTTTCGTACCATTGGTGGTGGCGGGCGAGCCTGGGACTGCTGCCGTATGACCATTTGTCTTGTCCTCGACCTTTTCCTTGACGGCGGACCCGGAGTCCTTGGTTTCGCTCACACGCGGGGTCTGGGGAGGCGTGGGGACCTCCTGGACAGGGCTGGGGAGCGGCGGGGGGATGTTGGTTCCCTCGGTCAAGGAGCCGAACTTGAAGTCCAGCTTGGGGAGCTCAAATCGTTTAGAACCGGTGGAAGGCATGGTGGGCGATGGTGCGGATCAGAAGGTTTGTGTCATCAATTGACTTTGTTGATGCAAAAGCGAGGTTGGGCCAGGATGGGTCCGTTTGAAAGGCGAGGTTTGCAAATGGCAATTGCAGGATCCGCCAGCAGCCAGCTCGACAAACGAACGCGTGACAGGCAGTGTGTGCGGTTCGCCCCGTGGCGTGTGTCGTTGTACGGAGCTGCAGGGGGAGTCGAATCGGACCCAGTGCGAGTGCGGGTTGTGGTCTGGTGGGACAGCGTGGATGTTGTGGACGAGAAGAGAGCGAGTGCGACGTAAGAGAGTCTGGGAGGAGTGGTATCCGTAGGGAAGGATCCGCTGATCTGGTGGATTTCGTAGGGAAAACGGAGCCGAATTGTGAAGGGTTCTGAGAGAGTGAATGTCGAGGTTGGTGACGGTACGGGCAGCATGCAGGGTATGCTTCAGAGCGAGATTGGGTATTCGTCTTGTGCAGTGGCGCACGAAGGAGCAGGCGGAATGGTGGACAGGCGATGCAGTGTACAGTACCAGGTACTCGTATAAATGCAGGGTTCGCAGTACGGAGTACGAAGCAGGTAAGGTAGTGTACGGAGTAAGGTAAATTGGTGCAGCAGGTTCGGGCTATGTACAGCCGCCGTGCTGGGATTCGAATTGGGTCTCTAGGTATCGGTACGACGAGGTTGAAGGCGGTCGTATCGAGCCACGATGGTGTTTGAGTTGGCCTTGAATCGTAGCCATAGGCTGAGCAGTAGTGAGGGCGAAGACTGAAAAGTCTTGGGCAAATCGAGAGGGCACAAACAGCGGTGCTGGCTCTACTTGAAGTCGAATCGAGTTGGGCTCCAAGGACGTGGGGAGCTGCAGTGGCCAGAGACGAAACGACACGAGACGGCGAGTGAGAAAGAAAGTAGGCCCAAGAGAGGAAGAAAGGCCCGGGGACGGTGGAGTAGAAGAATGGAACGGCAAGTCGGGGGTCAAATGGGAATTGAATTGGATGGGCAGTCTTAGACAGTAGACTGAGGTGGATGATTGCCCTTGGTTCGTTCCCTTTGCTTGCCCGGTGCTTTTTCTGCTTGGTGCTTGGTGCTGCTTGGTGCTGGCGTGGGCGTTGGATGGCGGGATTGTGCAATGGGATTGGACTGCTCGTCCAGTTGGACTGGGCTGGATGGGTGAATGGATGGATAGGTTGGATTGGATTTGAGATGTCCTGCAGGGGTCCAGCACTTTGCGTGTTTGTCAGTAACCAGAACTGCCAGGTCGTTCCCCGACGGGTGGGATGGCGTTGCACTCACCCTGGGGCCCCTAGAGGTGTCCGGGTACGCAAGTGAGGTCGTCTGACAAGGATACGCCTGCCAACTCGGTGTCTTCGTCTTTTCTTCCGCTGTTCCTTTTTTTTTTTCTTTCGTTCCTCTGCCTCTGCCCCCGAGTGATCAAAGTCCGCGCGAAGCAGAATTGCGGATTATTCCACGCATCGTACGGAGTACGCATACTCCGTAGATCCCCTTTGCTTTTCTCCTTCTCCTTCTTCTTCTTCTTCTGCTCCCTTCGAGTCTCCCTCATAGACGAATGAACCCCGGAGCCCCATTGCTTCAGGTTGGTGTTCTGATCTTTTCGGGAAGCGACCTGAACCTGGCATTTCGCCTTGCTGGGATGGCAGTTTGAGATGCCAGATTGAGGCGCCGGGCTGGACCTTTACCAACATCTGTGCCCCCCATTCTGGATAGCTCTGGCACTCTGCTTGTTTACTTACATAAGACAGACGTCCGTTCTTCCAACCGTGCGAAGATTGACCTCATCAGGTAGGCACAAGACGAAAACGGGGACCGAGAGCCCACGTGAAAGTTGGAAGTGGCACTGACATTGACAATTGCAATTGCGCCTGCCTGCCTCCACTGCCTGCCATTTCCAATGCACCAACCGTGCCTGCCTCTCTAATCTCTCTTCCTTCCGCGGCAACAAAAGTTAGTAGTGCCCGTGGCATCTTGCCCGTCATGCCCGTCCGTCCCTTCCCCTCCTCCATCGCCCCTCCCAGCTAGGTACCTCCTACCTACCTTAGGTTGGATGCCACTGCCTGCTGCATGAACATTGCTTACCTAAGTGCATATTTCCCGACGTGCAACACGTAATCTTAGAGTTCGCATTATCGACTTCTCCAATCACCAAACGTTGTTACCTTATTTTCCACTGCAAATTCATCTCATTCGACTAGACGTCAAACGTTTAGCATGATCGGCGGTGTCTCCCGAGTCACAGAGCCTGTCATTGGCAGCAGGGGCTTTCTTTGCTCTCAGCTGCCATACGAATACCTTAGTGCCAACTCTGCCATACTCTCGACTGTGCCGTCCCGTCCATGGTTGTCACACTCTTACCTTCAAAGCTGCGGCAAAAGACGTGGAAAGCTTGGCTTCACAGCCACTGATATGCAAGAGAAACACGATCCAAGATGCACCGAGTCGACGCCTGCAGCAAATTGTCCGTGAACCTGCACTAGCACAACTTGCACCACACCCTCTTAGCTGCACTACTCAGTCCACACTGCTGCACACCATACATATCACGATCAAGGTCTGATGGATGCATACTGGCGCGTCTCAACAGCTTTGTCTGGCACGCGGTAATCCCATCCGCTACTCCCTTCTACTCTAATACGACGTGTAGATTTACAGCGCCAACACCGGATTGTCATCTGCACGAGCATTCCTTGGAACAACACCACAGTCATTTGCTAAACATTTGCGTTCCTCTGTCTCGACTACGCTGGGTCTAGCAAATGTAAAACCATCACACCATGTCTTCCAAGTTTTCTCTCCTTCGGGCCATGACTGACTCCCATGTCCACGCCGCGCGCCGCCTAATACCATGATTTAGGTCCGTTCCTGAGCTAGCAGACCACATCCAACCAGCTCCGCCAACAAGATATCACCTTCTCTCTAACATCCTGGCAATCCGGCCATGACCCGGCCTCCGTTTGAAGCTCCATGCCTTCCCTACAAGTACAGAGACGTGACCCCGTCTTAATTGGTCCGGTGTGCTCGACGGTCCGGCAGACCAAGCAAACGCTCAAGGAGCCGATGCGCCGAGCCGTGTCGCCAATAATCCCGTTTCAGCAGTCCAAGTCAACCGGGGTTATCTGCCGCGAATGGGGATACTCAAGGGAAGCTGCATTACAGCTCGCCGCCTGTTCCTACAAACGTCAAACGCCCCCCTCCGCCATCCCGCTTCTGATCAGTTTCTCAGCCATTGGTCTGGCGAGGCCGCCTACGGATACCGTTGACGGCATGGCTACTCGGCTAGCTATCGGAATTTTTTTCATGTGGCGATCGTCGCAAGGCTTAAGACGACAACGCTATTCAAATTTCATGCGACAGTCACGACCATGGTGCGAGAAAGATCGTCATCCAGCACGAGTCAACGACACCCGTAAAGCATTACCAAGGCTTGCGCGATGCTGACTGGCTATTCTGCCTTAACCCAGTCTCAAGTACGGTCATTTATCGCGTTTTCGACTTCTCGGTCAAGCGAGAAACATTGGATTCCCAAACAGGAAAACGGCTCCATTCCGAATCTCCTCGCATGCAGGCAGGCCGCTAGCACCAATCCCCACGACCATGGCCCACGATCCTTGATCCTTGAGCGCGTGGTGGTCCCTGGCCGCCCCCATCCAAAGAGAAATCAGACCAGGCAACCCCTATTTCGCATTTTCCTGTCTTCTCTTCTTCAAAGATTCAAAGGTCCCGCGCACAAGATGCTTTTTCTGCTCTAGCCCGAGACCAGGGCCAAGAGTTTAGAATTGGACGAGAAAATTTGAGCTTTCCCACTTGATCGTATATCCGTATCGTGGCTTATCAATGGGAAATGCCTATCAAGGACACGGGCCGTTTCATGCAGCCCACAGTAACTCCAAGAGCCTGGCACGCATCACGAGGCAAAAAAGTTCATCCCCGCTGCCTGGGTCTGCAAGCAAGGGCGTTGAAACATTACATGGAAACACATTCCCTATTGCCGGTACGGACATGCAGGTACCTCTGACTTTTGTTTCCTCTAGGCCGTATCCAAATCAGCCGCGCTTGTCGTCAAAACATGACATTTTCATCATGGGTTTATCGTGGATTTCCTGAATTTTGGCTCGACCTCTTTGGGTCTTTTTAATATCCGATTCTTCACAAGCAGACGAGCAACGATGTTACACCGTTGTCCACTCTGGCTAGAAATGTCAGAGCGTTTGCGCCGAACGTGGCTCCGGCGCGATGATAGACCCAGAAACGATCAGGCATGACCCCATTTCTCCTACCCTGGTCCGAACGGTGCTTGCGTATCGTGGTTCGCGCATCACCCGGCGTTGGTAGTCGGACATGGAGCGCAAGAAAACTCCCAGGTACACAAGAAAAACAGCTTCCATGACTCAATTGCGAGCTGCCCGCTGCCCGCTGCTACTTTCAAGATTACGTGACGGTGCCGGCGGAGCAATTCTCGGAACTGTGGGAGCTCGGGACCTCGCCCCGGCCCCCAGCTGGAGGAGCAGAGAGCATCCATGGATGAGGAAGTATACGGACTCTCACCGAGGTCCGAACCTCAGACCCTTTTGCCGTCATGGGCCCGAGTTGCATAGTGGCTTCGCACTGGCCATCGGCGAGCCGGCACGGAACCTATCGGACGACAGTTGGTCTCCGAGACGCGGAGGCAAAGCTGGCTACACCCCAATCCTCGACGGTGGTGCCCGCGGCCCAATGGACAAGAGTCAGTACTCTCGCCTGTCGCCTGCGATATGTTTGGCATCAATGCGAGCGAAGAGTTGTGGCATCGAACAAGCAAGCGCCGCTCGCTATACAATTGTAGGCAAGGCGAAACTTGCAAGCCCATGCCGCGAAGTGGCTGCAGCGAAGAGCCAGACCGTAATTGTTTACCCTAGCACGGCAAATGGAAATCGAGCTACCTCAAGATACAGGCTCAAAAGTGTGAGCAGAGAAAGAAAACGATCCGAGTGAGATGGCACTCACCCATGCGTACACGGTCAGTCAGAGAAAATGGGACAGGACACTCTGGTCCACAGTCATTGCATTGAGACTTTTGTCGTCGCAATAAGCCTTTGCAGTTGATGCCATAGGATACACGGGCCGTGGCAATCACGGCAGCGACTCACATCTGCACGAAAAAGGGTTGTGGTGACCGCCGCTTGGCGCCGCTGCAAGGCGAGTTGAATCTCACGATGCCCTACTTCTGCCACATACGACCATACCCATTGGAAAACTCGGGATCCCGTCCGCTCTCCCATAGATAAGCCAATGAGGGCCGGATTAGTAGTTGGGTCGGTGACGACCAGCGAATACCTGGTGTTGTATGTTTTTGATTTTTGTTGATGCTGCTTTTTGTGGGTTGAGGTGGGTGACGTGAGGGTCTTATCCGAGGAGAATATCAAATGTTGGGGCGGAATGGACCGCGTGAAAAGAAAGGCTCAGTTCAGGATGAGATGAACGGCGAGTCGTGGGTAAGAAGCTGGTTCACATCGTGCTTCCTGTCGCCGTGTCTGTTTACGTATACCCCAGGTCCAGTACTGCCTTCACGGTACCTTGAATTGCACGGCTGGGTGACAAACGCACGTCTCAGGTAGACTCTGGTGTACTCAAGTATCAACGACGAGACTTTGAGCTTTAGAATGAACTAGGAATTGCGGTTTCGTCGTCATCGTTCAGGCATGGTGCAGGAACATGCCAGAGGTGCCGTAATCGTGGGGCTGACAAGCAGACGGCAGCCTCAGAAAAGACAGTTTGCAGAAATGAGGGCTTGCATTTCGAATCCAATCATACCAAGTAATTATACCAGAGTCCTCCAAATGTAAGAGCATTCAATGTCCCTGCAGTTCAATTCTCAGAGGGTCTAGAAAGTATTGCCAGGCTCAGGGGCCTGGCCTAACTGTGGCACTTGATGTCTGCAGGTTTGCTTCTTCGTCTTGCGGATTATGTTGTATATTCTTATACTAATTATGCTCTATACAGCTCTTCTTTGAATAGTGTTCGGGTGGATTGCCGTGATTACAGATATCTGATATGTCGACCTTTCGGCTAATAGCATCGGAATCTACAGCAATCTGGAGATAAATATCGTCTGGGATTCTGTGCTAGAAGTTGAGAGATCCTGGCCATGAAAGGTATTCCAGAGGTATCTAGAAATACTTTGAGATATTTCCTGAAAACCTGACCAGGAAGATGATCAAAAGATGGCCGGCCCGCACGGTGAGCAGTCTGTCGGGCCAACGCGTCGGATGCGATGGCACTATGGACAGAGCATCTCTCTCTCTTACTTCAGTATAGAGAAGCCCATGGAAACATGGAATCGATAGTGAAACTACCGTTGGGCGGCCTACGACATTGAGATGAAGAGTCTTTTTCACAAGATCATCGCCATGTGCTTCCCATGTGCTTCTCCTATGCTACGTAGGAATGAAACGCGGTGCCATCTGAGGCAAGAAATAGGTAGGATGTTTCTCATCGACACCGTGAGTCTATGGCTCTTTCCACCCCTCCAGACTTATACCTCCCCGCCATATTGTATACGTAAACACCCAGAAGGAAGCCTCGGAATGAGAGAAAGTAAGTGAACCTCTTCATGAACCGTTCAACCAACCATCATCACCACATTCGCCTCAAAACACAGAAAAGAACTCTATAAGCACTCAGTCTTAGCATTAATCAACATCAAATGATTAAATACAAGCAACGAGCAAAAAAGATCTCTAGAAAGTTTCTCCTAAAAGTTCGGGCTCAGGGTGTTGAACACTGGCCCTATGAAAACCCCACCCCCCTAGGGGAATTTTCTGCTCGGTATTTTACCGCTAGGCTAAGGCGTTCCCGGGCGTCCCCGGGGCTGGTGAAAGTGAGTGAGGGGAAGATGTAGATAAAGGGTCGATGGGTGGGCGGTGGGCGGTGTGGTGGCGGTTTGGCTATCCAGGTGGGTGGTGATTCAGGCCTTCGAGTGCGGCTCCAATCGTGTCGGGCTTCTTGTTTTTTTAGGTTGTCTGGGCTTACCAACTCTTAAAGTGACGAGGTACGTGAAATTCCCTTCCCCCTTTCATCCCATGGACATCATTCTTGCTTCTGTCGTAACGAAAATCCCTTTCTCTACTCTACCTAGGTCATGTCCCCTTTCCCTACAAAGAATTTAAATACAGGAAATACAGTGCATTAACACGCATCTCACTACTTCTATGCACCTGGACTTAACCCAAGAGGTAGTCCAACACAGTGGCTTCGGGCCTTGATGGATTTCGTAACATGTACACAAGGGATGGACCGCTGCCAAGGTACTTGCTTGAGTTGGCCAACCTCTTTTGAAACTGCTAGCTCACCGAAGATTAATAGGCAGACAAGATCGTATATAAAGCCAAGGTACACGTATCCATAACTATGAGTGAAGCCTCACTGGGAAGTACTTGGGAAAATGATCTGGTTGCGAATGAGTCCAGAACCACGCGTTGGACTACCCGACTAGGATTGTGACTCATAAGACGTAGCCAAAGCTATTTCTTCAACATATCGTCACTTATTCAACACGATCTCAGAAGTCTGTTCAGAAACAATGGCTCATCTACCGGCGTGTAAGTTAAATAGCGTGTTGATCGCTCTGCAGAAAGATATCTCCCTCATAAAATTCAAATAAGAAATCACGTAAGGATTACACTGGCGACGGAACTATCATTGAGAAAAAGTGACGAGAGATTTACCTGCCGAAGGTACGTGGGCGTACGCAGGACTGCCCTACACCATCCCCATCTCCGTTCACATTCTCCAGTCGTCAATGACCGGTCCTCTGATTGGCCTGCAGGTACTTGACAAGGGTAAATCAAGGTGGGGCCCCACCCGCTCTCGCACCATGGAGGTTGGAATACCTCGATAGGCAGCCAGCCAACCCGACATTTCAATTAAATCTGACCTTGAGAAATCTCAGACGACCTTACGTGACTGTTCGTCAAAATATTCCTTTCTCCCTTTTTTCTTCTCTCCCCCCTATTCCTCAACACGTCAGGCAACCTACGATATGGAAAGTTTCCTTCTAGATCATCGTCATCGACGAGGTAAATGCAACCACCCTTTCCCATGCTACATCGGACTGATTTCCTTTTGAAATGAGAATGCCAAGGCAGATTCATTCGGAGAAGAACCAGGACACCGGTGTCCCCCAGAAAGCCCCCAGCTCGCCGGAGGCCGAGAAGTGGCGCTAAGGAGAACCATCCAGCTTTCAAGAAGCCTGCTCCCACCCCCGAAGAAAAGTATTATTTTGATTACAGCAGATCCTGCTGCCTTATATCTGCTCCGGCACTGTTTTATGTTGACACCGAAGATGGAAAGCAGGAATGGGAGGCTTGTAAGTGGACTCTTCCTGGGAGTTGCCTGACGGCCCCAAGTGCGGCCTCGATCATTTTCACCTCATCGACTCGTTGTTTTTTCTCTCGAATGCGGCCATAGCTATGGAAAGAAACCTCGAGATACGCTGCCATCGTCCCTTCTGTCTCGTCATCATTGTCTTCATCTTCATCTTTGCTTCTGTTTTCTCGACCACTCTTTCTGCTCTCTTCGCGAAAGGCCTTGCGACCGCCCCCCCCCCCTTCCCCGGAAAGGTACAGATCGGAATCCTGAGAGGCAGTGCCTGCATATGTGCCTGCTTGCTTTGCATACACCTGGGGCAACCATACACAATCACTCGGGCAATGATGAAATCTTCACATACACGGGACCGTGTGCCACTTTGTCTGGCATTACTGGCATGACTTGCAGAAGAATACTGAGCCTACAACTTTGCACGGGGGAGAATCAAACCCTACAGGAATTGATATCACTTAGGAAATCTTACAGATGATGGCGTGGGAAAATGTATCGGGTTGCCGAAGCCTTGCTCGCGTGGTGATCGTCGTGGGGTGGCTCGACGGTCCAACCCTCTGATACCACAGTGCACCGCCGCGCCTCCATGAACGGGTCGGTGCTGAGCAAGCGAAATTTAACTTGGCTCAAACTTTGGTGTGAGACCACCATTGAAAAGGTGGCTCACAAGACTAGCGGCCATTGAGAGGGACAGTGATGATCATTGACCCTCGCAGGTCTACATTCTGAGTCTCAAACATAAGACAAGCAAACATGGATGGTTAAAAAGATGGGGAAGGGAGAGAGGGACTGTGCTTGACATGGTAGTCTGGTGTTGAAGAAGAAGAGAGATAGAAGAAGAGTCTTGGGAGGGGAGACGTGTTTATATATCCCTCGAACTAGACGGCGTCCCCCATCAGGAAAGCATTCGGTTAGGTACAGAGCGGAAGGCAGGAGTAGGCAGGAGTAGGCAGGAGGAGGCAAGAGGTAGGAGGCAAGAGGGGGTAGGAAGATAGGCGGTCGAGGTAAGAGGAAGGAAGAGGTAGGAGGTAAGAGGCAGGAGGTGGGAGGTAAAAGGAGGCAAGAAGCAAGAAGCAGGAGGAGGCAGGAGGAGCCAAAAGGAGGCAAGAGACAAGCGGTAGAGGTAAGAAGAGGTAAGAAGCAAGAGACAGGAGGTAAGAAGAGGCAAGAGGCAAGAGGAGGCAGGGGCCGAGAGGCGAGAGGCAGGAGGTAAGTACCTTAGGTAGACAGCGTCAAATAGAAGAAGAATTTCAAGCCACCATAGCTGAACGCCGTGCGGATATGGCGAGAGTAGAGGCATCTATCTCGTCTCTCAATCTCATAAACACTTATAAAGACATGAATATAGTCACCTGGGATGGTCGCTGTACTTAAGTGTTGACCTCCCACAGATCGACAAGCCGGCGTCTAGCGTATCTTTTGGCTTGCCGACCCGACGTCTGGGACTGGGCTCAGACCACATGTTGATGGACTCACAAGCCAGCAGCTTTACTATGTATCTCATGAGGTCACAAAGCAGTCGCCGAGGAGGAGAGAAAACATGACCAGGGTTCTTGTGATACGAGGTGTCTTTGTTTTTCTGTGTATGCTGGGCCTGCTATGTTCTTCCCTATAAAGTGTGAAAACAGTAGGTATGGATGACCGAGTAAGACACGGCGCCCTAATAACTGCGAACTTGACGGCATTTCGACGTCTTTTGGAGTCAAGGTAACCCCTATTCATTACCGTTTCAGCGTCTCAAAGGAGTATTACAATTTCAACATTTTCAACAGTATGAAATCTCCAATTCACAAAGGTCATCGGCCCTGGGTGTCTCATTGTAGACCCTCAATCCTCACAGCGAAGAGGTGGCGTAATCTGGCCCTGATTAGAAAGACATATTTAATAATACTGTTATACGGTAGCGGATCACGACGCAAAATCTAGAAGAATATCGTGCTTCTTGCAAAAAAGGGCAAAAGAGAACATCGAAATAGTGATCGCTTGTGGGTTCGAACCCACAGACTGCAGCTCGATAGCTTTGCACTTCAGGATTAGGGGTATAACCATTTTAAGCTTCTGGGCAAGAGTCCCTTTTACTGCTGCTGAGAAAGGTCGGAGGTGTCTAGTCTATATCCGTCACACCTCGGAGTCACCATCAACCCGCCAATGTCACGCACCCCGCGGACCATCCTCAAAGCCAGACATCTTTCCAAAGTGATTCAATCTGACTCGTTCCACTCACATATTCTTCACAATGATTCTTGGCTAAGCGATCAGCTCAGTATCCCATGGCTGATCCGTTACGAGGCCACGGCATCAATAATATTAACTGAGGACTTCAATGCTCTCTTTGAAATCATCTTGGTATTCATACAAACACCCGTCGCTCACAACAATAATACAAAAGTCCACTAGAATCATACATCCAAATCATTTCGCGCTCCTCCAAGTCCCACCAGCAGCCCCGTTCCCGCTGCCCAGTCCAGAACCAGGTCCGACACCAGCTCCGGGATGACCACCCCTACCCTTCCTCAAACTAGAAGCACGGGACCAAGCAGCCGCGGTATCGCCCGCAGACTTCTTAAGCCTGTTACCCAGACTGATCCGCGCGGCACTCATAACCGCACCGCTACCCGCTCCTCCCCCTTGCATCCGGCTAGGGATCCCCGCGGAACTCGCCACGCTCTCCCAATCGCCCCTTTCAACCTCCTCGTCATCCGGCTCCTCGATAGTAGGCGGCGGCAGCACGAATCCCCGACCCATGACGCCTCCTGAGGGAGCAGAAGAAATACCTGAGGCTGGCTGTTGACCCTTCCTCAGCGCGCCCATCATGGCAGCCCACGACTCGACCTGCCCGCTCGACGCCTCTTCTACGCAGTTACACTCGTCGCCAGCAGGACAGGTAACCTCGCCGGCGGCATGCCACTCCGCGAGACACGCCTCGTGGAAGGCGCAGCCGCAGCCTAGACACGGCGGGTACAGGGCGTCGACGGGCTCGCGGCAGTATACGCAGAGGAGCTGGTACTGCGGGCGGCGGCAGCGATCACACGCACCGACGGCGCCGCCGGAGCGAGTCGCGGAGGCGGAAGTGTATTTCAGAGGCTCGAGCTGGGTCTCGTGGACGCGGCATACGCCGGTAACGTCGAGACCGCGGCCGGAAGCGACAAGAGCTTGGAGCTGCTCCTTCTTTCCGAGGAGGATCGGGGAGGTATTGTGCGGTTGCTGCTGGTGATGCTGGGCCTGATGGCTCTGGTGCTGTTGATCGTGGTGATGCTGCTGGATTGTTGTCGAAGTATCGGCGATACTGTAGGTGTCATGGAAATCGTCAATCGAGCCAGTCCCTCCCTGGCCTTGCTGAAGCACGTTGAACTTCATAATCTCCAGGCGAGCCAGAGGCTGATTCCACATTTGTAGAATCTCGGCGTAGACATAGCGGTACGTGGCGTACATGTCAGCGCGGTTCGCCTCTAGAAGCGGCGTGGTCATCCACCCGTCGTCATCGAATATGGTCTGATCCTCCATATGGACAGACACTCCGATAGGTACCATGGAGAATAGATCGTCGCGGTAAACCTCGTCGTCCGAGAGGGAGGTGCGAGCCGTGCCCGAGTCGCCCATGATGGTGGAGCCTCCCCAAGTGACAGCACCGGGTGCACTGGGGGCGAGGGTGCTCAATATGGTCTCCGCTGGACTCGGTCTCTTACGACCATGGTTAGGCGGCGATGATGCTGCGGTCGTTGTCCCCGTTGCAACACCGCTGAAGGGTCGAGGAAAGTTGATAGCGAAGCTCGAGGTCAGACCCGAGTTGGCTCTCGACAGCGTCCTTCCACTGGGCGACGTGGAGAGACTTGGCGTTTGATCCCCCTCCCCGAGATATTCCTTACCCCTTGGTGGCGGTGTCTCGCCGCACGAGTAAGAGTTTGAGCCTGGGTCCCCAGTCCAAAGCATTTCTTCAGCAGAACCTTGTGACCCAGAGTATCTGATTGGTGTGTGCAATGTTCTAGGCGTGGTGATGGCTGAATTTGTCTGACTCCTGGTGTTGTAAGTCCAAAGAGATGCATCCGTGGGGAAGTAATCGAGTGAAAATGCCGGAGTCTTCATCGGCAGCGGTGTGTCTGGCTGCGTGAGGTGCGATTCGGCGTAGGCAACACTGTCTTCGGTGAATGCTTCACTAAAGATGCAGGACAACATAGCTAGCATCTGGATATCTGCAGTCTTCTCAAAGTAATCAAAGAGATCGCTGATGAAATCCCTCGCTAGCGGATGATTGCCCCACTTCACTCTCCCGTTGAAGTCAGCAGTGTCTTTGCCATTAATCGTCTTGGTAACCGGCGAACCCTCGTGACTGAATCGCGCAAGAGCGTCTCTGGCTATGATCAGAATGGAGTTTTGGTGACGGTCCATGTTTGACAATTCCAGTGGGATATCTCGGCGGAGAATCAGTGAGAGGTAGCGCCAGACATCCACCAGATCTTGGCAGCCATGCTTCTCTGCGACCTGTGCATTGTGCTCGCAGACCTCAGCACCATCCCCAAATATAGCATAGTCTTCTGCGAATTCCTTCTTCGCAGGCAGAATATCCGATAAGTCGTGGAGGGAGACGACGTTCTTCGATTTTGCGCCTGGTCGCCTTCTAAGCGATCCTGTGCCGGTTCCGGTTCCCACTCCCGTGCCGCCACCGCTTGATCGAACAGAGCGATTGTCACTCCAAGTTCGCTTGAAACGATGTCGGGGCTGATACCATAGGCTCATCTTGTTGATAGATGTTGATTCCGAGTCACTCGAAGAGGATGAACCGGTGGAGACATCAGAGTCGGACTGCTCGTCTGTAGCGGACATCTCGTCGTTACCATATCGCTTTCCAGGCGGAGAATCATGCGCAAGACGGCCGAAACCGGCGAATACAGGCTCCCCTTTTGACCTCTCCCGCATGGGTTCTGCCGGCGTGAATAGCAATGCCCTTGCCTTTTCTTCCTTGGTTGGGAAGAAGCACACCAGCCTCCCGTCGTTGGAAAACCGGGCACCGCAGAACCGTGGCAAGGGTGGAATTGTAGGCCTGTTATTTGGCGCCAAGGTGCTTTCGGCCTCTGCGTTCGGAGGTAATTCTTGAGACATGGATGCGGAACCGCCGGCCGGGATATCGTTCTCGTCTTCGCTAGAGCTCTCGGAACCAAGGCCGTCTAATGGATCGTCAAGATCCTTCACATTCTTGAAGAAATTCGTGCTCGCCGCCAGGTCGATCTCGCCTAACAGATAAGAGAAAGCAACATCCAGGCAATTCTGCTTTCGCTCCAGAAACTGTTGGCAGAGCTCATGAATTTCGTGCTCGATCTTCCGATGCGTCTTGTCTGACATGAAGCCGGTCTTCTCAATGTAGAATCTTGGTGCTTTGGCTTTAGGATAGTTAGATGGTATGTCGACTGTAACTTTTATGAAGATGGGGTCGCTGTTGGCGCCCCACGGGCCGTTGAGGGATGCGTTGAGCGTCAAGTTATCCATGTCGATGTGCTCCCATTTGACCTTGGGAAGCTGCATGCTGATGCGGAGAAACTCTTCCTGGATAGTCTCTGGTTCTCCCCACTTGTCATCGTCCATGTAACCTGGGCTGAACATGCTAGAGTCCTTTGAATCTGCCCTTCTAGGGCTGTCTGTAGATGTCTTGCGCTTGTTCATCATGATTCCCTTCATCCAGCCGATATGTGCCTGGCTACGATCCATCTCTCTGGAAGTGCTTTTGGCTTTCATTGATGAGCCCTTCCAAGCCGCACCAAGTTTGGAATAGGTTGTCGGCCCCGACCGCATACCCATAGTTAGAGCACTCTGACGATATTGCGCGCTATTGCGGGGATCGCTCATTGTGGCACTCCTCCTGTCTCGGCTGACTGTGTCCTCAACCGTTCGGAAAGTTTTGTAGGCAGCGCCTTTGCGTGTGAGGACGACATTCTTGTTGGCCGCCATCCCCTTGACATATCCCACAGACTCGAGAATAGACGGGTCGACTTGCTGCAGGCGCAGCTCATTATCCTCTCCCCAAGAGACGAGCTGGAAGTCTCTGTTATCTAGCGCATCTTCGGTGATGCTTCCTCTACTTCTCCACAAGAACTCCTTGGCCTTGTGGTTGCCGTGGCCAGGAAATACCGCTACTGGCTCAGTCGGCCCTTCCTCAGGGTCCTTGGGAGGTGTTCGCCAGTCGTACAGGTACAGGTCGCCTGGTTCGTTCTGAGGCATCGCAAGGAGCCCCTGGCCAAAAGGGGTATGACGAGCGCGCCACACCGGGAACTCGGTACGTATAACGCGATCCGGGACATCTTGATCGCTCGCATAGTCCCAAAACTTGATATGCTTATCCAAAGAGCAAGTAACAATCTTGGTTGACGTTGTCCGATTCCAATCAATCCCGTAGATCTTTGAGGTGTGTGCGCCGATTGATTTCAGGGGCTCGCTTGGTCGTCTTTCGTCCCAAATGTGCAACCACCTGTCGTGAGATGAAGCTAGGATGTGCGGGTCCTGACGGTTGTACTTGACTTGCGTGGCGCCGGCAAACCAATCGCAGAAAGTAAGGACAGGCTGTCTCGGGCGTCTGAGATCCCAGCAGTGGACGTAACCATCGACAGCACACGAAGCGAGCTGGTCGGGGTGGTGGGCGGACCAGTTGATATCGGTGATGGCTCTGCTGTGGCCTTGAAGTGAGTGCTCAATGGCCCCCGATGTCGAGTCATCTCTCAAGTTGAGGTTCCATACAAGCGCGCGATGATTGGCAGTGGACACGACCCAGTAGTCGCGAACGGCAAAAGGCGACCATTGGACATCAGTGACAAGCCAAGGGGAGCCATGACTGCTGAGTCGACGAGGAGGATTGTAAGGTGAGTCCAAATCAATAATGGATAAACCTTCGGGTCTAATGGATGTGTCAGCTGGGGTACAGTGGCTCGGAAGCCTCACGACAAGTTCACTCACGATGCTAAGGCAACATCTCTCTGAGAAGGAGCTATCGTCGCCGATCCTACTAGACCGGCGACGTGAATCGTGCCGTCCGCATCAAAGCTCTCGCTGTCGAAGGCTGACTTGATCGGCTTGCCCTTCTTCGGCGCATCAAGCTGGTCGAAGTGCGGCATGATGGCGGTTTTGGCTCAGATGAGAGAGATGCCTCAGAAAGGCATCTGTAGGCGCTATGTCTTTGCCATGATCCGATAGCACGCGACAATGAGAGAGTTCTTCCACAGTATAGACTGCTCTGGTAGTTGCTCTTTGATTGATGAGATGTCCTGATTGGATGAAATATCGCAACTTGATATCGAAGGTCTTTAGTTGAGGCTCAGAGGTTGATGCACGCGACGGGATCAGGTGCATCCATCGCTGAGCATCCTGGGCGGACGCTTGTGGATGGACGGGATGACAGTCGGGGACCCACAATTGTAATGATGTACCTTCGTGCAGCAAGTCTGCAGTTGTGTACTTACTCCCCGCCAGGACCTCTAGGCCAATGATAGCTCGCTAATACCACTGTCAGTCTCCACCCTTTTACTGTTATCGGGACAGCGTCGAGCCAGGCTTGGAGTGTGTCATGCTTCTGGTCCCTCCCGCGGGGCAATCCCAAGCAAGGCTTTCCCAAGCACATGCCCACCATACCCAAAGGTTGCCTTTCGAAACACTCCACCAGTTCCGCCTACTCGTCACCTTCGTCGCCGCCGCTCCAAATCGATATTCCGAGCATCCGATTGCGATTCAGTTTGCGACCTTTCTTCCTTCCTCGGCGAGTTGAAATCAAGGAAGCTCCATCTCATTCACCACTCGCTTAACCCCGCCATCAGCTTCGTGGCCTTGGACTTCGGTTTCTAGGGGAAGCTCAGACACCATACCTTTCCTCCCTCACCCTCGAACAATCTCCAGAGCATTTGTCGCCCAGCATGGCTTTGCCTAAGCGTATTGTGAAGGAGACGGAGCGTCTCATGGCTGAGCCGTAAGTCTCCTGCCTAGCTAGCGACATCTCGATGTTTTGCTAACAAAGACCGCTTCAAAGGGTACCCGGAATCAGTGCCGTCCCTCATGAGGACAACCTCCGCTACTTCGATGTCGAAATTCACGGACCTACACAATCTCCGTATGAAGGTGCGCAATACATTTACGGAAAGTTGACTGGACGGGAAAGAACTAAGAGGTGTTACAGGCGGTGTCTTCAAGCTCGAGCTCTTCCTTCCCGACGACTACCCCATGACTCCCCCCAAGATTCGCTTCCTTACCAAGATCTTCCACCCGAATGTCGACAAGCTGGGCCGCATCTGTCTCGATGTTTTGAAGAGTGAGTAGCAGTACACGAACAATGGAGTTTTGACGCAGGACGGCTAACAAAGAAACCTTCTTTTAGACAACTGGTCCCCTGCCCTCCAGATCCGCACTATTCTCCTCTCAATCCAGGCCCTCCTCGGCGCCCCCAACCCCGACGACCCCCTCGCCGCCGACGTCGCGAAGAGCTGGAAGGAGGACGAGCAGGCCGCCATCGCGACGGCCAAAGAGTGGACCACGAAATTCGCTGTGCCCAAATAGAGGAGGAAACACTGAAGGAAGCGGGAGGCTATGCTGCGCTTTGGAAGAAAAGGCAGACGACGGCGCGTGGAGGAACAGCTACGGCAAGAGCCAATGCAAACACACTTTCCCTAGACCGATTTTGAGGCGGATGCTGCAGAGACGATACAGCCCTCCTGCTGTCTCTGACTTTGTAGAGCGGGGGCTGATTTGGACGTTTCAGGACCTGGAGTTGCAATCTTGAGATATGGCATTGCGGTCAGCTTTTCTGGTTTCACGGGAGGACCCATGCATTATGCCTTTACGACTTTCAACAATGAGAAGGATTGTTTTCATCGCATGGTGTGTTTGTGAGTGTAATCCGACTTCAGGCCGAAGCAGCCCGTTTGGCTACAAGTCTTGCCGAAGACGATATATCCTCTTAGCCTCACGTCGACAAAGTCGGATGACGAAGCACTTCTCTTCTCCAGATTGAGAGACAGCATGATTGAGGAATGCTTCAAGTACAACCTATGGCCACGAAACTCCCAGCCGCGTCGATGGTTTAGTGGTAAAATTCTCCGTTGCCATCCAGCAGCGTCGGGGAGCCGGGGGTTCGATTCCCCCTCGACGCAATTACTTTTGCTTTTGCTCTATCGTGCTCTTAATAACAGAGGGTTAGTGGTCTTGTACTATATATCTATCTCACTGTGTTGAAAATGGGGCTAGGTAAATCAGAACTGATCAGTTATGTTCTTATTTCACTTGTTTAATCGAGGTGTTGACATTCTAGCTCCTGCTTCATATAATGTTGATCTCCTCATATTCTAGTGTGTGCCGTTCAAAAGTCAACTCGCTAGAGTAGACATCAAAATCAGAGAGCTCGATGTCTCCAATATAGCGGAATACTCGAGGTTGAGTACCCCCTTTGCCAGTCTCCGGAGCAGGTGTAACTTCTCGTAGAATGAAAGGAACAGAAGCACCTTCTGCGAACCAAATTTGGTCATGCTCCATTGCAAAATGAGAGCCCAGCCCGAAAGCCTGTCGAGAAGTACGATAGAAACATTCGTTATCAAGCTCTTCCCAGACTTGTTGGTCTACACACAAACGAGGGAAATGAGGAAAGCCAAGAATCTGGAACCGTTCAACCCACGCAAAGATCTCTTTGCGAATGAAATGCCCCGCCTCGGACCCGTTGAGTCGTGTGTGCACAACTCTCGCCGTCCCGGAACGTAATATTCGACTCTGTGTGACTTATCAAGACCGCAATCGGACACAAGGGGCTCTAGATGCAATGCGTAGAGCTCTAAACATTCGTTCAGAACTGCTGCTGCTAATCTGTCCCACAGGTTCAGTTGAGGTTGACAGAGAGCCTCAAATGGTCTGGTTCGAAAGCAACCAACCATCGTCAATGCCATCTCGTAACTAGACTCTGGAATAAAGTGCTCATGGACTTTGCTCAATATCGTACCTATCTTCATGCCATGCAAAACAAGCTTTTGTCCAATGATAGAAGGCCTTCTCAGTTCGCGCGACCATATTTCTCCCTCGCACCGTCCTAGGACTTTGAGAGTTACCTCGGTCTGAGGTAACCCACCATATCGGTTGTGGCGATCCGTTTTCGACGCATTTGGTACCGAATAAGCAGGTACCCACGACGGTAAGGCTGTGTAACGGCGGGTCTTCTCCTTTCCGATATGTCTGAGTTCTGATAGTAATGGAAGCCGTCCGAGAAAGCACGCAGCGACAGATGTGAAGACATCCTCCACGCTTTGATCGTAGTCAGGAATGATGGGGCTCGAGACTCCTTGGGGTAGAAGCATCGAGAGCATGCCCAGGCTCCCGTGAATATGATCGCGGTCATCCCCAAAGTGAAAGGAGCGGAGAGTGGAAATGATGACACTGGCACATGCGAGCCATGCGGGCTCCGATCTCATGCTCCAGCTTTCGTTTCCCGTGTAGAACACAAGTTCGCTTAGCAGATTGCGGACTCCGTTAATCTTGTGTAGACCACCTCCGATGCCAAGATGCCTACTGGTAGGACTTTGCGGCTTGGACAGGGCTTGACCATTGGGGAATAGTTTAACATGTTCGAACGACCGTTCGATGTGTGTTTCCAGGGAGTGGCTCCATCGAGACTCATGGAGAAACTGCACGAATGCACCGAGGCGCTTCCAACTCAAGACAACTTTTCCACACATGATATGTGTTTGAGCTGGATTTGCCAAAGCAATTTCCTGAACGACCCAACCGCGATCGAACCAGCGATTTTCCCCAAGGAACTTTGCAAGAATGAACCATGACGTTCCCCATCTGGAACATGTGTCGGGCCCCAAAAGATCGAGAACTTCAGGTTTCCTGCAGTAAGGGTCCTTGTACAATTGGGCCTTTACAGACTCCGGCTTCCTTAGTGCCCGAGATAGACGAGGGACAAACTTGTCGTGGATCCACTGAACCTCGGGATCAGGCTCCGAGAGCCCTAGCCACACAAGAACATTCTGCGCGGCACTGTAGATGCGGTGCATAAGGAGCACTTGATGTCCCTTCTCCTTGTCGTTGGCCTGGTCGATGCAGAACGCGTCTATCCACAGTGGCATTGTTTCCAGCGCGGACTTGACTTTGGGCGGACATTTCGGAGTCGTGGAGGAAGGTTCGTCCGCGCCAGCCTTTGCTAGGCATCGGAACTCGAGGATGGTACAGAGGAAGTTGAATAGATTCTCAGATATCTTCATCAATCTACCGTCACAGACTACCTCAAACGTCATTCCTGGCCCTGGCTCCAGTGTCTGTTCAGAGTTGCCATACTTGGGTAGCTGCCAATTTTAAGAGAGCGCGGCAAATATTGGTTCATCATCCAAGCTGACCTCCTTCAGCGAGAGGCAGAGTCCGTGAGGATGATGGTTGTCTCGCGAAACGCTGAGGAGGCGTATGGAGTCGATTGTTGAAAGAGCCTTGTACTGGTAGTCCGCCAGTGACGCAATCATAGCTTCAAGATGGTGCAACAGAGCAGAAGAGGTTGAATCAACTGCGTATATTTTTGGTTAAGGAAGTGAAGGAATGATTAAGAGTTCGCAAATCAGGCTGCATGATTTCTACTTCAACTGGGTAGGGATGTGTCACAGCCACATGACCTGCATGTTGGCATGTACGTAGTTCAGCGTACGAAGTAACATTGGTGTGAGCACTAGACATCCAGTCACGTTATTTTTGACCTGGTTCTTGAATCTCTGCAATGCCTCGCGATGTAAAAGAGGCGGGAGTTGATCGTCCTCAATGATATCGTAGGGTATCTAGTCTGCACGCCAGCGTTGGTGTATGCTCCATCCATGATCCCTTCTACTAGCTTGCCCGATGTGTTTCTAAGTCATCTCTCAACTCCATTTGTATATTCTTGTGGTATGACCATCTTAATGCTCGGTAGAGAGCTTCTCCGTCTTTTGCTTAGGTCCACCTCCACTGCTTCTTCTATCTCTGATCTCGCTGGCAGCAAACGCCACAAGAAGCGAAAGAGCAGTCGCGAGCACAACCCCACTCACAACGCAGTATGCCATATAAGAGTGAAAATGATGCCTTTCGACAGCCTGAAGACGTTCCACAATCTCGCCATGGTCTTCTGGTAGCCTTTCGATCTTCTCCCCCCGATCTGTCCACCGGTTGATTGTGTATTCTCTCGGGTTGTCCAGAATCTCAACGACATGCGTGAAGAGACCCCTGAAAGTGCCGAAGGATGATAGGTATGACTTGAGGGTGGTCGGAGATGTTACTTGTTGTTTTCTATTCGGCGCTTCATATCTGTAAACCCCCTTGGTTTTCCTTGGACCCCGTATGAAGCCTTGGAATGGGTTGTCTTGGTGGGGGCTGCCGAATCTGCTCTGGTTGCAGTTTATGGAGGACTCAAGGATCTCTTGCGCTGATTGGATAGGGTTTGAGAGTGCCTGGGTGACATTGTTGAGGCGACGATTGTGTAGTCCCACAGTTCGTGCGGTACTGGACCGAGTCTGGAGTTCATGCAAGATCATTCGGCTGGTAGCCAAGTGACTGTAAAGCCGTGGTGTTGTTTGTAGGATAGTGTTGAACATGATGTTGATCGTTGATGGTGTTGACCTTTGAAGGTATTGGCTGGTTTGAGATGTTGGTGTAGCTTGTAATTGATTCCTTCAGTAACATAGCTAACACGATAAAAACTGCGAGTTCATCTCAAGGCGGAAGTCCCCCTTTCTAAACCACCAGACAAGATAATTCGGAGATAGAACGTTGAGTCCAGCTTCCGCTCCCGCCTTATTTCCACACATTTCCATAACATCCCTATCTCTGGTAGAGTTGACAAGGTCCTCGACTTCTCTATATCGCCCTTCCATATATAGATGGATCAAAACCTCATATCACATTGCGAGACTTCATGGGAGCCACGGAAAAACACTCGTTCACGCAGAACTAGAAACAGCGCAAAATCATATTCGCACAGTTTGCGATACAAGTTTCATTACTCGATACGGTAGAAATGTAAATGGCGGCAAAATTGAGTCATATAAAAGGGATGGCTCTGGTGATATCAAGGTATACCAAAAAACCTTGACGACCATCTCAACAGTTTGAGGCTCATGCCCTCTCCGTCAAATACTTTACCATCCCTCATGACCACAAGACTTTTCCCGCGTAAGTGATATATCGGACATCATCCTCGACAACTTCAACCACAACTCGAACAAGACAAGAACAAAAATCACCGCCTCATACCAAACCAGAACGATGGCCTCCCAAACCCTCCTCCACACTCTCCGGAGGCACCTCCCCAGAATAATCACAAGACCATCACCCTTCACAACCACAACCACAGCACCGCCACAAACCCGCCTCTTCTCAAACACATCTACCCTCCACGCCAAAGTCGTACACCCAGACATCGACAGGTACATCCGCTACAGCCTCCGCGACGGTCCCCCGCGCACATCGCGACCGAAACCACTCTTCTCCCTCTCGCATCAATGTCCGTGGCCGAAAATCATACCAATGACAGCCGCATCCTCGAGCTTCGCATCAGCATTCCAACCTACACCGTCACAGCGGAGAGCGTCCTCCTCATCATCAATAACGTCGTCTCTCGACGCCAAAAAGCTCAAAGACGAGGAAGATAGGAAGGAGCTCTCCCGACGGTCGCAACGGTTTGAATCTCAATTAGATGCCCTTGGCATTCTCCAGGAGGATTTGATAGACAGAGCGAGTCACGTCTACCGAGAGCATCATCGGCTCTCATCTCACGTGAATGCCCTGAACGTCATCACGGAGCGTATGGTCAGTAGAGGCAAGATTCTCTCCGAACTGGAGAGAAGGTCTGCGGCCGGCGAGACCATATTCACTGATGATTGTGAATACGACGGCGCCGGGGAAAGCACCAGGGACAGCAACAGGAGCAGCGCCGGAAGCAGCACTGGGGACAGCATCGAGGCATATCTCTCCGACACTGACTTGGCGATGTGCGGGGTCTTCTTCTATCTCCTTTTCTGGGGTTTATGCGCAGCATGTATCGCCAAAATGTCGAGTGAAAGCCCAGAAACTCAGGAGTTGAAAAAAATGACGGCGTCGGATAGTAGCCTACCTCGCAACGCCGCAGAAGTAAAGTCAAAGAGTGGCGACGAGGAGGTCCAAGAGCTGCAATATCTCGCGAAGCCGTATAATCCAGTAGCACACCCATTAGCCAGTGCAACATAGTAAAGAAACATCACTTCTCCTAAGATACCATGACTCAACTTTTTCAAAACATCTCTCATCAAATTACTTTACACTACTACTCATAATGTCCTACCTAGGTATCTTACCCATCATCCCAAAGCCGTCGACTCATAATAATAGGCCTTGCCGGATCCCACGGCCCATAAATCTCATTCTTGTACTTTTGCAACCCAATCAGCCACCAACTACACCCGCCCATCGCAATCGCGGAGATGAGCACGCTGACGACCATGCCCGCGACGGCGCCCTTCCAAGGCCAGCAGGATATCCCCATACCGGCACAACTACCGGCTGCAACACCACTGCCATTGTCACCCACGATAACTCCGACACCGGCACCCGCGCCAAGCACGAGAAACACCGTCATGGCATAGTGGTACCCCCAGCTCCGGTGGCGCGCATACCGCCGAAATACGGGGAACAGCCCAAAGACCTCGATGCTGAACAGCGTGAGGCTAAAGACCTGACCCGTGGACGGCAGCCGCGAAGCGAGCACCGTCGAGGCCATGAGCGCGGCGTTAGTGGAGAGCGAGGCGGGGATGTTGACGCGGACGCCGCCCGAGTAGTCAAAGAAGAAGATGTTGATGGTCAGGAGCCAAAAGGACATGGCCCAAATACTGTCGCTCGATGTCGACTTTGTGAGGGATTTGAGGATGGGGGAGAGGCCGAGAAGAGTGGAGTAGATGAGGATAGCGCTCTTGACGGTGCTGAGACGCTGGTTGAGGCGGCTGTTGTCGTCACCTGGCAGAGGGAAAGAGGATCGCCGCGGGAGAGGCATGCTGCTGTTAACTTCTTGGCTGTAGCGGCGGTAGACGGACTGCGAGGTCGCCGACGTGGAAGAGATGAGAGAGCTTGCGGAGGCGGAGTGGGAGTGCCGCGCCAGACGAGGCCGCTCTGCGCCAGCGGTACTCGACAAATTCGTCGCGGAGCTCGTGGCCGTCGTAGCCGTGGACGAAGCCGCGGCGGCACTACCATCGTCATGCAGCGGCGGGCTCCGCTGCCTCATACTCCCCGTCCTTCGACTCGGCTCCAATCTCCGCCCCGCGGCCGTGGCACTGCTGCTGCCGCCGCCCGCCAGACCCAGTTCTTTCCGCTCCTCGTCGGCCTCCCAGCGCTCCCACAGCAGCCACCCCAAGAACGTCGCCATGCTGCTAAACGACACAATGGACACGGGTGACACGCGTTCCTGGGATATGAGGACGAAGCAGACGATGAAGAGGATGACAGAGCAGACGTGCTGAACAATCACCGTGGAATCGGCGACGAGGGGCCAAAAGTCGTAGGGCTGCAGGCGCGGGTTGCGCTGGAGGCTCTCGAGAAAGGTGTTTTGGTCCGTGTAGTTGTCCGGGTAGCTCTGCTTCACCCACATGAGCTTCTTCCAGGTCCGCTTGCGACTCCGGCGAGAGCGGGAGCGGTGGCTTCCAGCGACTGCAGAGGCGGCATTGTGACGGAGGCGTGCGCGGGCGGCGCGGTGGTCTGCGCCGAGGGTGGACACATCGGGGAAGGAGGGCACGGGTCGGCGTGGCGGGGATGTCGCTAGGAAGGCATCTTCGGGAGCGAGGCGGGATCTGTCCTGGCGCTGCTGGTGGAAGTTTGTGGTGCTGTTGTTCGTGCTGCTGTTTGTGGTGCCGGTGCTGAGGGCCGTCGGGAGGGTGGAGGAGCGGGTGAGGGGCGGGGGGAAGGAGCCAAAGTCCGTTGGTGTTGTCGGGGACATGAGGCGCGGCTTGCCCTTGAGGGCCTCAGTGTAAAGGAACGACAAGAGTACCAGGACTCAATGGGGCGTGTTGGTGATGATTGTTTGAGGCGTTTGACCCAGACCTTTCTCAGCCTCGCGATCGCGAATGGACTGAAGTCGGCGCAAGGCTGCAGACCAAGTTGATTGGAGCCACGGAGAATGCGCGCCAGGAAGGCAGTGGCAGTGGCAGAGGAAGTGAAAGAAAGTGCCAAGGGGGGCCAGGCCACGCCAGGGAGGGCACTCTAGGAAGGAGTCAAGAACGACACAAAAAAAAGGGTGCGTGCACGGACGGGGAAAGGACATTGGTGGGGAAGGGACGCCGAGTCAGTCGATTTCGACAAGGGTGCGTCGCCCGGACCAAGTCGCTGGATTCGGTAACTCTAAAGAAAAAAAATGCATACGAAGGATAGTTAGACTGATCGGTGGCCGAAAGAAGCGTCTTCCGCAGTCCATCAAGGGAAAGGTGTGTCTACTGCTGCAGCTGGATTCTGAATGCTGCATCTACTGCGCATTGCTAGGTATTGCTTCAAGATGATTTCACAATGGAGGGTAGTAAATCTGGGAAATATCCCATCCGTCCAACCACAGTTGCTACTTCAAGCTTAATTCTTCTTTGGTCCGAGTAGACTATCTGTCGTTCCGTACTCCGTACGTACCTAGTAGAGTCTCGGAACCATCACCGAACTTGCAAAGGTAAAGGTTGTTGTCCAAAGTATCGTCTACAGTAGTCTAAGCTTCATGGATACGCGGACAGATCGTAGACGGATCATGGGAAGGAATAGATGCATGCCTACTATGTACAACCCTGCCACGGATTGCGTCTACATCCGCGTCCGCGTCCGCGTTCGCCTTACCCAGAAGCTAAAACCAAGTTAACCGTCTTCTTCATGACGGTGTCGTGGACACGCAGCTCCCGTCATGAACCACTTACGATCCGCGGCCCCCTTCTCGACACACGACAACCCAGTTCTCGGAGACTTTCCCATCCTCCTGGAAACCCAAATACCACGGTAGCTTGCGCGTCCATGACCCATGGAACCCCAAGAAAGGGAACTGTCGTCGTTCCTAACTTTCCGTGGCGATGCAAAGACACCAGGCACCACTGTCAACAATGCATCCGAATGCGTTCAGAATCGCGACCCGCGGCATCCCAAGCCTTGGATTCTGAACACCACCACCACGGTCCAACACCAGTCCAACGACAGCACACCTACTATACTGTAGTGACCTGACTACGAGGCTAGCGGTGCACTAGCATCCGCTCGACAGGTGCCCGATTTCCGAGAGAAACGGGGCCTCTTTGCGGAGTCCCACCTCGCCATGTTCTGCACCGCCTGCCTTTGCTCAAAGGATACCACCGGCAACACCGTTCCCCGCCAAACCCTTGTGCCCGGGGGAATACGAAGAGCAATTCCAGAAGCATTTTGAAGCCAGGCAGTCTCATTTCTGTCTGCCTAGATGGCCCCGAATTTCTTTGCAGGGAGGCCCGCATCGGCACAAAGCTTGTTCGTTGCTTATCCCGTGGCTGATTGGCTGTCCCACTGGAATCGACCCTCATGCTGCGTTCCTGAGGGCTGAATGGATATTCCCTTCACCCCATAGCCGGTCAACGGCGACATTATCCTGCATCGCTTTGGTGGTTTAGTGGTCGTGTGCTCGTCGGCGATTCCTAGATCCATACGGATACAGGTAGGCTGTCACACTGTCCATCGTCTGTCCCCCTTTTGGTGCTCTTACCAATCTTCTGGGCCCCTTCCCGTGCCATGCGCCCCTCCGCGTTGGCATGGTCAAGGCCCTGTGGTCCAGACTCTTCGGCGCGCCCTACAGGGACTAGGCCGGAAGTGTGGCAGGCTGCAGCAATGGCAGGCGTGCCCTGTGGGCGCTGTGAAGACTGAAAGTTCGCCTGGAAGGGACTGCTTATTTTGGAACTTTAGCGGGCCGACCGGAAGAGCGCCCACGCTGCCCTTTGCTGGGCGATACTACTGATAGGTGGCCAGGCAGTGGGTGCTGCTGGGAGTGTCTTTGGGCAGTCAGACCAGCTCAGATCTGACTCTGGCCCAAGGGGCTCGAGGTACCTACTGACGTTTCGGCGGTACTAGTGCGAATAGCCTCACCATCAGCTCGATGGGACGATTCTGAGTGAGTCGGGGCTGGCATCGACGATCCATTTCCCCCTTTCCTCCAAACCTAGGCACGAGAAGAGAGCAACATGACATCAACGAGCGGGCCATCTGCGACAATTCGGCTCGACCTCCTTGGTTAGAAACGTTGCTTTCCTGTTGCAAGTCTTGCCGGACGGGCTTGGCAAAGCAAGAGGTATGCGGGTTCGGGGTCCATCAAAGTCTCATTCCCATGGCATCCCGTGCTTTTGCGTGCCCATGGACGGTGGGCTGGTCTGAGAGCATCTGTTGAAACCGTTTTGACGTTCAGACAACCTCACCATGGAGGGCAAGAAGAAGCGGGTTTCGCAGTTGCTGCCGATGTGGGCCTCGGTTGCAATGGAACGAAACAGTCCAAACTGTCGCAAAACTCCCTAGGAGGCAGGCTCCAACTTCCCAGGACGGGGATTTCATGTTTCTCCTTCGTCAATGCTTGCTCCGTTTGGTTGCGGTCACCCTGTGATTGTGACCCTGGCGACGAGCCGGCGATGGTCCCAAAGAAGAGAGACAGCTCCGCGGCGTCTTCAGTCACTACATTGCAACCAAAATGGCGAATGTGCACACTATTTGATAGCGGCTGGCAGAAGCTATGTCGGCATCTGCCGCGCCTGTGGTGTGGTGATTTCAAAAAAAGAAGTCCAAGCAATGGAACCGGAGCGCTAATCAGTGGATCCTTGGCGTAGATCCATTGCTTGGGTTCGCCAGCTGCGATTTGGCTTTGGCGCCAATTCTCACCTGGCATTGGACAGAGAAACCGTCGCATTAGGCGTTGGCTGGTGTTGTCATGATGGTGTCTCTGGCGTTGGTAGAGTCTAAGTTGATTTGGAACTTTTGCCGTCCCAGCCCCAGAGCAACTCGATGATTGCATGAACTGAGAAGATCATTGCTGACGATTGAAGTGTTGCTGACATGCTCTCTTGCTTTTTTTTTTTTATTTTTTATTTTTTTTTTTCGGGGGAAGAGGCAGTGTCTTGGCGCTGGTTGGATGGCCGCCTTGTGCAGCGTGCTGCGTGCATATCCGTGGTATAGGGCGCAGCTGGGTGCAATTTCGTCTGTACGAGGACTGCAGCCACGGAAGCGCCAAGCATCGTGAGAACTGGCTGGCTGGACGGAGGCTTGACTAAGCATCCTAGACACGCCAAATCGACAGGGGCCATCGGCATACGATCGAAGACGATAACTGATTCGCTGAGTAGGCCATCGACAAGGACGGTGACCACGGACAGGCAGGTGTAAAGCGCGCTATAGTCCATAGCTTTATCCGTAGAGGAGAGGCGGAATCCCGCGTGCCGTGCGCAATTCCATGGACCCATTTCCGTGGGAAAGCGTGCCGTGAACATGGACTATTAGTCTATTACCTGGGGATCATGGAGGAAAAATAAGCCGAATAGTCAGTGTCCATTATTGTGGCTTGGAAGACGATTGTCGACTGGGTTCCGTCTTCTTCATCTCTGTGGTCTCGATAGGTGACGGGTATCTCCTTCAGCTGCGGCAGAGCAAGGGGGATGATTTGTGTGCTCGCCTTTTTTCATTTCTCTTCGCTTTTCCTGGTCGTTTCTTTTCTCTCCGCGAGATTCAATGGGATGGGTGCCGGTGGGCTGCGGCTGGAGGCGACGATATTTTGGGTGCAAAGACTTAATAGTCAGGGAGCTGGAGAGAGGACACTGTGGGAAGTCCGGTTGTGACGGGGGGGTGGTATTATGTGATTCGCTCTCTCGTACGTCTTGGAATCGCCAAGAAAGGCAAGGCTCCTGGTGGGCTTTGATCGCTGCCATCTCTTCAGAAAGTCAAGAGTCGAGACTCGCACAGGGTTAACTTTGCCCACGTGCTCCAGTTGGCAATTGTGGACGGGCAGAAGGTGGGAAATGAGAGCTGAGGGGCACAGAGGATCCAGACGGGGGCACTGGGGGGGGTTGGCCAAGCTGCGAGGGATCACTCGAGGAAAGCTTGATTCTCTTCCTTTTCTTCCTGTGGCGCCGTGAGATGTGAGAAGTGGGAAAGAGAAGTCCAGGTCACTTCCTCCGGTACGAATATTCGGACAGACCAAGGTACAAACTACAAAGTGTGCATTTAGCGGTACCTACCTATCTCGCAAAATACCTGAGGTAAACTGAGGTGGGCAAGTACGGAAGGTAACCGTTGGTCCTGCCATGGAGTAGGTAACTAAGGTACCTTAAGCTGTCGTGCTTGCGAGAGAAGCTGCAGCCTCAATAGCAACTATTGCAGGGAAGGTGGGAATCATTGGGGGAAGCACAGCTGGGAAAGCGCACCCACGAATCACAGCACACAATCGGCCAATGTGCCGTCGAGATGGGGGCATCGCTTACACCAAGTATTCCGTACAGATGTTGGGCTGACCAGATGCAGGCGCAGAGCAGATGCGGGCTTGCATTCTCAGCTTCAATAGCTTGCTTTGTTCGTTCGCTCTCGATTTTACTTTCCTGCACTTCTCCTGCCTGTCCCCCCTCCTCTTTCGACCATTGGCAAAATTAGACGAGACAACGGAGTGGAAGCTTGACTTAACAACCTGGCTTCGCTCCCGCAGCCTGTGACGGCAACCGTCGAGTCTTTCCCCTGACATGCCAATTGGAATCCATACAGACTCCATAGGGAGGCGCCTTTTTTGTCTTTCATGTCTTTCGTCTCTTCTCAACCTCGGTCGACAAGCAAATCTACGCATGGAACCCCCCGTCCGGCCTTCGGCCGTGACACATGAGATCTACTGGCAAGGGTTACCTCCTCTTCAGGTATTTGCACTCTGGAGTCTGGAGTCTCTGGGATTCTGCCAGGTTGTTGGGCAGTCTCATTCTCGCATTCAAGTCTGTCTGCGTAGTATGTCTCCTTCTCCATATTCTCGCGTCCCTCGAATCCCGCGGCCCCTTGAGCTGCCCGTGCAAACACTGACCATCCCTGGCAACAATCGTGTGGGTTGGTGCCCTATGGTCTGCAGAACCCCCGAAAGGCATGGGCAATCCGCAGCGGAAGGGAAAATCCAGGGGACCTCACCAAACCTGCCTGCCTGCTACGCAGTAACCCGCCAACTAACGCGCCTTTTGGGTTTGGGCGAGGTGGTAGTGCAGACGATCCAGCTCACCCCCGCGTCCACCTTGGCTCCTCGTCGTTCGATCCTAAATCGGGATACAGGAGAAAAGATTTGGAAACCGAGCTGCTCATGATTATGGAGTCGTGCTTTGAGGTGGCCCTCCATGTCGCATCTCACTTTTTCATTTTTCACCGATGATGGATGATGGAGGGGGCCGAGCAAACCGGGTACCGAAAAGAATGCAGACAAGAACCAGAGCCGCAAGGCCCGCGGGCCTATCAACTCTATGCAAAGAAACGAAGATCGCCAGAACACAGCGCTCGAGATCGGCTACTCGGCAGGCTCTCTCCTCGTTCTTGTTACAGGCCTCCAGAGTCAGTCATCATTCGAGTGTGCCGCTGCCGTTGCCCTTCCGTGCGTGCCTATCCCATCCCATCCCATCTGTCCATTTCGGAGAGAGCGCAGCAGCAAATCACTCGCCAGTCGCCCTTGCTTCTTCACACTGGGGGCCGGAGCTTAAAGACAAACGATCCTGGGCGCACCTCCTCACCAGAGTCACCACAGTAGGCATGCTGCTATGCTGAGGTACGAATGGACAGGACAGGCCCTGGCGAGGTCCAGGAGAGAAAAGAAGCTTGCGGCCGACCATGTTTGAATCGAGACACCCGCTTGCTGCATTAAACAGGGTGCACCGCAGCCCACAGGGTCCAGACCATCCCTGCATCCCTGGCTGAGCCTAGATCCTGGTCCTGGCCTGCCGCCCGAAGGCAGAGGGGGGACAGCGGCCGGTCCCCCAGCACCCGCTTTTTGTGAGGGAAAGCAGAGAACAGACCAGAGGGGATCTGAGAGAGACTTAGACAAGGAGCACGAGCATGGCCCTGGGCCCTTGATGGCTGGCTGCAGTGGGCTGGCTAGGTCTCTCTCGAGAGAAGACGGAGCGAGGGCCAAAAGGTGCGAACAGAGACGCCGCCGTCTTGGGTGAGGCTAATGTCATGTTAATCCCAATGCGTAAAAGGTTGGGTTTGCTCTCCTTTCTCTCTGTCTCTCTGCTCTGGATCATACATAATAACATTACCACCTCACCCGCCCCATGCCTCTTGTCTCCTGCACAAACATACTTGCAGCTACTCACGGATACCCAGTCCCATTTCTGATCAGACCCCATCTCTCCTCACTCCGGACGAGTCGAGGGTGTCTCTTATTCTTCCTATATTACTTTCAGACCTCGCTCGCCTTGGCACGTCAAATCCCACGAACACCTATCTCTTCCGTTCTGCTCTCAGCCGTCTATCCTTCCGGTCCTCCTCGCTGCCCCCGGGTCTCACATCTTCCATTAGTCGCCCCATCCCATCTTCTTCATTCCTCACAACTTGGGAACACACCAGAGCCCGTTACTTGTTTTGTTTCACTCGCCTGCGAGCTTTCCCGCCCTCCATTACGCTGACTTTTCTGCGCTCGGTTTCGCGCCTCGACTTGTCTCTGGTTGCCCTGCCGCTGTCACCGGATCTCTTTTCCTCTAATAAATTGGCTTGCCCAGACCTGGACATATATCCCTTCACGTCTCGGCACACCCCGCACTCATGCAAGCATCTTAATACACCACCACTGTCCTCCACCTTGAACTGCCATCTCCCCTACTGGTCATTTACAATCATCGTAAATTGCCGAACACCGCCTTGGCTTGAGAATATTGGTGGAATCGTTACAGACGCAGTAGTACTTGGAGCACACATCCAGCACAAGTCAACAGGCTAGTCGCATCAACTCAGACGACCTGCTTCGTTGGAGGAAAGGCAAAGAAAAGGAACCAGGAGGCTTTCTTTGTGGCTGGAACTACTTCGACATCGACGGACATCGTGGGAAACAGACTTACCAGTCGAGCATACCTGAACATCATCTAAACCCTCGACAAACAGGATTGAGATAAGACACGACGACAAAGACGGAATCTCTTCGCGCATCAAGACTCCAACTCTTGTATACACCACAATCACCAATTACCAACCCTAATCACCAAAAGAAAATGAAGCCTTCATCACTACTCTTCGCCCTGGGCTTCACCCAGTTCGGCCTGGCTGCTCCCGTCCCATCAACCATTTCAGACATGGTCTCACACGTCAAGACCGAGGCACGTCGTCTGACGAGGGTAACACGCGTGTCTATGCACCGCACACGGCCCATCTCCGACGTCTATGACATCGAAACCGAGTTCAACAACGAGCCAGTAACACCATCCGAGGACATGCCCCCGTCAATCGTCCTCGCCGCACCGCGGCCTCTGAAAACCAGTTACCTCCAATCCCTGTCAAGGCACCCAGCACCTCACGGCAAGGACAGAGTGGTGGACGTTGTGGGTGACGGAACCCCCGAGACGATTACGCCAATGTCGCTCAAGGATGGCCTGGCGGAGCTGCTGCCTTCTGGTCGCCTGCCGTCCTGGAAGCAAATCACCCGGCCGACAATGAGGATCTTTGAGCAGCACCCCGATCTGATTGTTCTCGGCGCCGTCATTGCCCTCGTTCTCGTCCTTTTGGTGCTGGAGTTTGTCGGTACTACCTTCCAAGGGTGAGTTCACATGCGTCAACTAGCTATCAAAGTGCAATCGACTAACAGAGAACGCAGAGTACGCCAGCACTATGACCCGCAAGGAGTGATCCGGCTAGAGGTGGACGAGAAGGCGTGCAAAACACCATCGTTCCGATGTGACTCGATGCCTTACCATGACGAGGAGGAGCAGGATGCCGAAGAACCGAGACCATGATTCTATGCAAATGGTTTAACCCAGGAAGGGAAACGAAAAAAGAAAAACGAAAACAACAACGCCAACGAGTCTCAGGACTCACGGACTACTTTAATGTGATTACTAGACATTGCGATACCATCTTCTTACTAGTATTGAGCGCGGCGCTGGTTAACGGCATGAATTAAAAAACAAGAAAAACTCACAAACAATCAATCTATCTGTGCCCTTTCATCTCTGTGAACTTTGAGTGCGGCAAGTAAATGGCCAGGATATTCACAATCACATTGAATCTTCACGAGAAGAGGGCGGCTCTGGATTTGAGCCGGCGTCGGCGGGTTGCAGAACACCGAAGAGGAACCAGGATCTCCAAGCTTGGATGGACTGATCTACTTAATCCGAAGTCTTGCAACCTACTACCATAACCTCAAACTATGAGGCACGGTTGAGAAATGGGTCTCATGTATCTGTTGCGGTGAGCGAAGGAGACGTTCCACAGTACTATGCCCGCACCATGTCTGTATCTCAAATACCGCCTCGAAAGCCAGTATTCTCGGAATTGCACATGCAAGAATTGTAGTTGAAGTAGAACCTTGTCACGCAGTCAGATGAAGTGCTCCAGCCCACTTTCCCGGCGTCTGATAAGGTGACTGGTGATGAGATAGCGGCTATTGCGGCCCGTCTACCTTATAGCAATGTTGCCGAAGTGCCGTGATCCGCCATCGACTACTCCCCCCACCTCCCGGGTTGAATGGTGTCTTGAAGCGGCCTTTGAAATGGGACTAATTGATACGGAAAAAACATTAGAATACTTCGTAAATGTGTTCCTGTTCTTGCGGTGGTGGTTGACGAACCCGGGATTTAAGTTCCGCCCTCGGTAATCCGGCTCAAAGACTCTCAAAGACTGCAACGTGATATCACTCCAAGGTGCGAACTATCAGAGCCGTCGCCGGAGGTTGAGGCGCGCCTGCGATACTTCGAGCTCATACATGCGTCTCTCTTAGATTTTGTCCCTTTCAATGAATTCATTTACAAGGATTTGGTAGAGGTAGAGGGCAGCGAAATACCTACGGGTGCTGTGTCCGTCCAAGGCGTGAAGCGTAAACCATCATCACGACACCCCTCATGCGGCCATATCAAAACAGCTCCCCAATCTTTGCCCCAGCACCACAACTTCCCTCCCAATTTTTAATTGAAGCGGCATTCCAGATTTCAGCCAGATTTATTTACAAGGCAATTAATGGTCAGTCTTTTTTTTAGTTGTTGTGTTGGTCACCCGCCAAACGCAAGAATCCCCCTCCATCTCACGATATGAGCCCTTACCCTTCGCTTGACTACCACATACGACCATACCCATTGGAAAACTCGGGATCCCGTCCGCTCTCCCATAGATAAGCCAATGAGGGCCGGATTAGTAGTTGGGTCGGTGACGACCAGCGAATACCTGGTGTTGTATGTTTTTTATTGGATTTCCTTCTGATGAAGGTATCGTCGTTTTGTTGTGGTTGGTGACGATGGGTGGAGTAGGGTACGTTTGGGTACCTTTTGGTGGGTGAGGGGTTGATGAGATAGGTCTTGGGGTAAATGATGAAGGAGAATCATGCAGCGAATAGCAAGTTCAGATAATCAATTGGCGTATCCGCTTGCAGTTGCGTTGTATCGTAGTCTTGCTCAGGGGGGAGGGTCGGGAGAGTTGGCTGTAAGGCGAATAGGATGGCAGTCTAGTATACAAGAAAGCAAACTGTGTCTCAATGGTTCCTTGCTTCATCAATTAGGAAGATAAACCAGACGACATCTGCGGACTAGAGTCTCGAGCGAAGATGGACCTACCCTCACACATCAAGTCCTACCTACAACATAACTGCTTGGAATCGTAGAAGAGCGGATATCTGTGGCTCTGACTTTGATAATGTCGGTTTCAGACTTGACCCAGCCATAAAACGAAACTCAATGATAAGCTCGTCGGAAATTCTCTTGCCACTGTAGGACCTGAACAAGATGGACGACAGTCATTGACCTCACACGAGACTTATGGCTTGCATTTGGACCTTCAATTTCCTCATATCTAATATGGAATTGACGGAACTAGCGAGGACGAGCCTGGATTCTCTGGCGGACGTCCCTCTCATACGTCCCCATATCACAACTTACCCACCCCGCCCATGCCTTACTAGTGGTAAAACAAAGCAAAGGGATACGATCCATCGTTGAGCACGCCCGAGGCAGGCGATATGGGCTGCTCTTGCTCCCACAATTCCTGTTTATATCTCCTCCAAGCCTCGTCTTCCTCCGCGATTCTCTTCTTTCTGGCCTCTGCCTCCAACATGGCCTGGTATTGCGCGATGGCGCCGTAGGTGCCGAGGGAGGCGAGGGTCGTCAGGCCGGCGACTTTCCATATGACGGGGATGGCGTTTAATTTCTCTGCCATCTTGAGAGTTCCGTTATAGCCGCTGGAAATCTTGTTCTTGAGGGCGGATATCTTTATAGGAGAGGCGGGGATGATTGCGCTCTGCATCGGATCCGTCTTGTTGACTTTGTTGGCGCTCGGATTGGGAGCCTTGACTCTTCTCATGGGAATGGTTCTGTTGAGGAGCCCAGATCTGACGATTTCTTTTCCGCTCGGCTGACGAGGCCAGGTGAAGGCGCTTAGCTTTGGTATGGTGAGCGTCTTGCGTTCCTCGAAGGCTCTCCTTATGGAGCAGCGGTACTCGGAGGGGCTAAGTCTCTTGTTCAGGGTTGCGGTGGTTGACAGGAGACGTGACTGCTGGGTGCCGAGTCTGGTAGCTGGAGTGATTGCGGCCTTGAATGGGGGCATAGCGAGTCGCTGTATGGTGAGGCTGATTTTGGATGCCATGTTGTGAGTCATGGGTGGTGAGATTTTCCCTGCGTTTGGTACTTCTTTTTCGTTTTGTAATTTGGGATTGGTTTAAAGTGAGATCAAATGAATAGGAATCTGGGATGGGTTCAGAAAACTTGGCTTGACTTATATTTACGTCTGGAGTATCGGAGAAAGGTCGAGTAACTAGAGTTTGATATGTGGTCGGTAAGGAACGTCCGTGGTAGAACAGTGTCAAGCTTTGAAGACGTTGTGGCTCCATTTGCTAGTCTGATGAATGGCGTCGAGGCTTGTGACTCTTAGGAAGAGAATGTAAGATACTCCTTTCCGCAGATATCAATTCATTACACAGACAGGTTGTCGGACGTGTCTTTCGTTGCGGACTTCGCCTGGATGCGGACACCATGCTTAAAGCCTTAGGTGTGAAGGAGACAGCATGCAACAATGCCGTGATAGCCTACTATGGAGTATATACAATACATATGATAAATTTACTAGCTTCTTTCTGTTCTGCTCGAAGTACAGAGACGAATGGTATCCCAATGGTCACTAGCCTTTAGGAGGGTTGTTGACGAGTCTCGATCCATCAAGGTGTTGCGTGAAGACGCAGAGGTCATCGTGGTATAGTACGGAAGACTATCTCCCTAGTATTCTGTGGTCATTAGTACAGTGTAGTGAGGCTCATCAGGCTTTGCGGCTTCAACTCAATACCTGGTTTGACGCAACTTATCGTGTCTCATCTGCCTCTTTATTCTGCTGTGACGTTCATCCGTGAGGCATTTGTTATGAGAGCTCAGGTTGCAGTGTACCTTGTCCCAACCAACAGCTGTAAGTCCCAGCATCAGTAGGCTGCAGATCTGAACCCTGGTCCAATCAACCCCTCCTTTGCATCTCCGTTGGTGTGCGAAACTCAGAATTACCATATTCTTGGCTTCGTCATATTTCGGAAGACGCAACTACTTTCGCCCATGATGCAACTCTAATGGGGCAATTGATAGCCGCGTGTAGTTACTCACGATGCGCCATCAGAGAGTGTGATTATCGGCGGGAAGCATGTTGGTCGATGGCTTCACGTACAACTATTGGATGGAAGACTCATGTTATGATGCAGCTAAGCGCTGCGACCTGCATGTATGGATGCCTCATGGCCCCTTTTCTAACCGCAGTCTTCCCAGGCTTTTGGCGAATCCCCGAGCTATCACATACCTCGGACTCTCCTCATGCCACGGCTATCTTCCGCCTCAATTCTTCAATACTTGTGGTATACTATGAAGCTACGATCTCTATCGTAACCTATATCTTGAGTTACTTCTGCCAAAATTTTACAGACTGGATGCGTCAATTGACACAGAGCTCATCACATTTCTGGGCAGACGCTTTCGGTCCAGAGTCAATAGTGGGCCAGTTGGGGTGTCTGAACAGTTGTGTTTCATACACCCATGATGGCAGAAACCAAGTCCTCCGAGGGCACAAAGACCAGCTGCGTTTCTGCCTTGATCTCTTGTTTCAATCTCGGATCGAAGAAGAAGCCTTCCGCCTCACCAGGACCGACGCCAAAGCCAGCCGTTCCATATGAACCAAAACCACAGTCGCCGACCAAGTCTGCCGGTGATTCCGTTTCGAACGACAAGGCCGAGTCAATCTCATCCAAACACGCGGGAACCGGAAACACAGACGCCGACAGCAAACACAGTCGAGAGTCTACCGAAGCACATGATGAGGCGCCCTCCTCAGACATTCAGCTTGTCAAGTGTCAACCTATTATCGTTACAGAAAACGCTCCAGTCGACCTATGGCATGAGGCGCTCAACAATACTCATCAAGACACCAAGTCTTGGATGGGAAAGTTTGGCGTCGACCGCTCGAGTACCATCCAAGTCCAAGAATTGACGACACTGGTCAGGCAAAGCGAAGAAACATACCAGGATGCCAGTTCAGGACTGAAAATCGGAGAACGGAACATTTTGTGGAGGGACTATGCGAATCGAGTCGTGGCTTGGGTGACTATGATCGGCGACATCAGCGTACCATTCGCCCCTGCGCCAGTCTCGCCGGTGTGGTCGGCACTCAGAGTGCTCCTACAGGTACACTCATTCAAACGAGTTCCTGTCGATTTCTGGGTTTCGCTGACCGGTACAGGCCGAAACAAGTCGAGTCGAACAAATCACCGCTGCTTTTGGTGCCGCCGACCGCATTCTCAGCATTGTCAGACGGGGTCAAATATACGAATCTGTGTACGGCCTTTCTAGCGCGAATTTGACAAACCCCTCGAGAAGGCTCCTGAAGAAGTCTATTATTGAGCTGTACAGAGCCTCGCTGGATTTACTAGCTTCGACGTCAACTCAGCTTGATGGACAAGAATCATGGGCAGTGCAATTTCTCGCGGCTCTCACTGGTCCAAGTCGTGCAAAATCGTTGTTATCAGACCTGACGGCCGCGGAGAGTGACGTGTCGAAGAACGCGGGGGCTTGCGTTTGTGAGTCAACAGAGAGGAACCTCGAGCTATTGCAAAGCCTTCACAGCCCTCTGCGACGGATCGACGATAGGGTTGTGCAACTTCTAGACTGTTTCAAGGATATGGAAAGCCGAGACAGAGAGTATGCCATGAACTACATCAGTGACGTCAAGGTCGATGAAATTCACGTCGCCAAGAAAGAGTTGCGGACTGAGGGGACTTGCGAATGGCTTATACAGCATCCGAGCTTCCTTGCGTGGGAAAAGCCAAGCTCGTCATCAATCCTATGGCTCAACGGTCACGGTGCGCCAAACATCCTCCTTCCCGTGTAAATCAGTGCTAATTGGTAGAAAAAGTGGGATCTGGGAAGTCTTTCTTGACTTCTAAAGTGATTGATCGCTATCGGTCTCACCCTGGCGATACCTTGAGATCACCAGAGAATGATGAAGGCTTTGCTCACTTTTACTGCGATCGCTCACTGAATGACCGGAGAGATATCAAAGCCATTCTCAGCAGCTACATCGTGCAGCTCTTAACGGTATCCCGACACCGCGACCGATGGCACAAGAAGCTTCTCATGTTTTGCAAAGATGCTGCGGCGTCTCGACGAAGCTTACAAATTTCCGAGTGCCAACAATTTGTACGCGACTTGGTTAACACGTACCCGCGATCTATACTAGTGCTGGATGCTCTGGACGAATGCGATCAGAGGTCAAGAACGCAGATTGTGAGCTTCTTCCGAAAGCTAGTCGAAGACTCTGACCGGCCCGTCAAAGTGTTCATGTCCAGTCGCCCAGAGACCGATGTACTTGAGTTGATGGAGACGTCATCTTGCATTCAGATCAGCACCTCGGATAACCAAAAAGATATCGAGAAATACATTGACCTCAAGCTCAGCCAAGGCGGCCTTAGCCCTATATGGAAGAGACAGAGTGTCAAATCCCTTGTGAGAAAGACTCTTCTCGAGAAACATGGTGGAATGTGAGTCCATTCCCTACTGCTGCAATTTCCAGAAGCAATCACTGATGTTCGCTGTGTGACCAGGTTCAAATGGGTTCAACTTCAGTGGGATCAATTAGAGCCATTGAGTACAGAGATCGATGTGAAGCAGCGACTTAAGAAGCTTCCGGAGGGCCTTGTGGCCTCGTACGAAGAGATATGTTCTCGACAAGAGGGTCACGCATTGACGGTTCTCATGAGAGCCGCTATGTGGGTGAAATGGGCCGAAACACCGATGTCGACAAAGGTTCTTCTCCATGTCGTTAAACTGCCGTTCTGCCAGACCCATGAGGAGATGGAGGCTGCCATAAACGAAGAAAGCATTACAGAGACTGAATTAGGCAATATCTGCCGTCATTTGATCACTCCTGAAAGGAGGTCAAAATACGATATCGGAGATCCAAAGAATTTGGCATGGAAATTTTCACATGCCTCAATTGCAGAGTTCTTCGACGAAAAGCTCAGTCACTGGACAGACAATACTGAACAGTACGTTGCAACATCGTTGCTCCTACAGGCATCCTTACCAAGAGAGGAAGAGGATGGGGAAGAGACAAGTAACATTGTCGTCCAAAACTTTCATGGAAAAGATCCCATATCCGGATTCTTTCAGAGTTATCGTTACTACAGGTACTGGATGCAACTAAACTTCTCCGATTACGCCCACGTCATCTGGCCAGACTTTGTCCGCAGGATATACAAACGACGCCCAACAACAAAGGAAATCTCAGGTGTTCTAGGATATTGCCTAGGCCTTGGTGATACTGCCGACACTTCGAGCTTTCAATATTCAACAGATATGGATGGCGAGGGGGCTCTGAGGAGAAAGTGGCTGTTGCAGAGCCATGGGGCCTTGCAGCCATGGCGCACTCCGGTCCCTGCAGCCTGCGATTTAGGGTCTTCAGACTTACTGGAGCATCTGCATCGAATCGGGTATGATTTCAATCAAAAAACAACTGGCCAAATGATTTCTTGTTTGTCCGTTGCTATAGAACGTGGAAACGACGACATTTGTTCGTTTCTTATCGATCATGGAGCAGAAATCAACGTAGTGGACGATAGGCAGAGCGGTGGTAAGGGTGGGACTCCACTACATTACGCATGTGGCAGTCTCAGTACCGTCGAACTTCTGCTTTCGAGGGGAGCGAACCCACATCTTCACGAAGACCATACACCGCTGTGTATGGTCGTTCATAATGATTACTCCACTGATATCCTTTCAGCATTGTTGGATTGGAAAGCGGACCCAAACTTTCCCTGCAAACGCGGTGGAGTTTTGTGTTGTCTTGAATCTGCTTTCGAAACCGACAACGTTAACGGACTGGAATTGCTCTTGAAACGTGGGCTTGATGTTACACTGTGGGAAAGGAAAGAATCGATTCTGGAAAGAGCAGCTTCTCTAGGTGCCGTAAGTTGCAGCCGAGTCCTCATTGAAGAACTTGGCCATGACATGAACACTTCCAATGGAGGGATTTATGACAGCATGCTAGTAGCAGCAGTAAATGGAGGGTCAGAACGAATGCTTTACTATTTGATTGAGGAAGCAAAGGTCGATCCGCGGATTCTCATTTCTGATCCTCCCGAACCTTCACAGTGGCATATGGGCACGATAGTGTATTTTTTGAGAAGGCAACAACATTTGACGGTCCCAGACCTCGTCGAAATTGGCATACCCATGGAAACGTTACAGGAGTCAACCGGTTGGCGCCGAAATAGATATTAGTCAACATGAAATTCCAATCTGTCAAACCACGAATTTTACAAAAGTAAGTAGTGCCCCGCCCTTGAAAGGTGTTTAGGCAACCCTATTAGTTTTCAAGAAATCCTCGTAAATTACTCTTTTTTTACTTATTTATAATAATAACTTAAAAACTATAAACTCTAGTTTCGTATTAACTTTAATAAATTAATAATAATTTTTTAATTATTAAAATTAATAATAATAATATCTAAATACGTATTTAATAAATAATAACTTACTAATCCTCAATCCTTATTAAGCTTATAATTACTTTTATTATAATTAATACTTAATTATTAAGTTTTATACTTTAATATATTTTATATAGTGGTTTTTTTCTAGCTTTATAGGCGTAAAAGATCGACCTTAACGGGATTATACTTTTAAAAGAAATTATATAATATAGTATACTTTTTAACTATATAATACGCGTAATATGCCCTAAATACGCGCTTAATATAATATAATGATTTTAATACGAAAACTACTATATAATTCGGGATAGGTAAGCTATTTTATAGTAGCGCTAGCTAAAAAAGTTAATAGTAGAGGTTAGCTATAAAGGTTAGAGGCGGCCCTTAACTATAGAGGTTCTGAACTTTAATAGCGATATAGAGGTTTCTAAAAAAAGGGCTAAAAGGGCTAATATCTAGCTACTTAGAGCTCGTAAAGATTCTTTTTATCCTTATTATTTTTAATATTACCTAAAGCTCTATTTAAATTAAATAAATTTATTAAATAAACTTATTAATATATAAACTACTACTCGTTAAGAACCTACTAGGCCCCCTCGACGCCCTAGCTATCGTAGCTAACGTAGGCATGCCTAAGGAGTAGCGTAGTACTTTCTAGCGGTGCGGAATCTAGCTAGGCAATAGTACGAACGCCGTAAATAGCCAGGCCGGTACGGATATTAAAATCTAATATATTAACGCTAGCTTAGAAATTATATTTTACGGAGCTAGAAATCCCTCCGATACGGGCTATATTATAGGTATAAGGGAATATATAAGGGGCCCCCTAACTTTTAATAAGAAGGAGTATATAATACGGGATCTAGCTGCCTACGCGGGCTAGTACTAGGAGGTCTTATATACGTTAGAGTAGGTATAGCTCGCCCTTTAGACGGGCGGTAGAAGGTCGGGAGCTATTTTAATTAGTAATTAGGTATAGAGCGTAATATACCTAGTTTTCCCTAATACGTAATACACGGTACGGCCCCGGCGGATTACTTCGTTAGGGGGTTAAATATATTTTATATAAATAGAGTATTAGCTATGCATTATAACTAAAATAATATAATTATTATTAAAAAAATTTAAATTTTTATTAATTATATTATCTTTTTCTAATTAATAATTAAATTATATATTAAATATAAATAATATTATTAGTTCAAAGCTTAGAAATCTTTTAAACTAATTTTAATTATTATATTATAATATAATTATAAATATATAGAAATATTTAAAGTATTTTTTTTTTATATATTTTACTTTTATTAACTACTCGGGCGGTTTTTAATATTAATTATATAATATTAATATATAGTATTAATAAATACTCTTATTATCTTAATAAATAATTTTTTTAGATTTTTTTTAACTTTTTTTTTTATAAAGTTTATAACTACGAATTATTAACGGTAATATTAAGCGCTTAATACTACTACTTTATAAGCTACTTACTTAGCTAAGTTTATAGCCTTTTTAAGTAATAGTAGCTTATAATAATATAGTATTAGAGATACCCTCGTTACTATCGTTAAGAATAATACCGACCTTACGATATTTACCTTAGTATTTTTAACTTTATATATATATTACTTTATTTTTTTATTAAAATTAAAAACGCTTCTCTTGCCGTTATTATTACTATTACTATTTAACTATTTATTTTAAATATATTTTATTAAAATACTAAGATACTATTAATAACTCGTTAAACATTAAAGCTTCTTTAATAACTAAAAGTTCAATTTTATAAATATTATACTAAACGATCCCGAGCTATAAAAAACTATTTTAATAAATACTATATTTATAATATTAACTTATAAAAAAATAGATAGATATATTATAATAAGTATTACCCTTATTAGCGCCCTTTTAATATAATAAAATAATATAAATAAGTTTAGATTTAATAATATAATTAAGAGCTTAAAAAGAGTATAAATACGCGTATTAAATAAGAATATTAATAAAGAGAGGTTATTATTAAATAAAATAAAGGGAGAAAATAAGGGGTAATATTTAGTTATTAAAAGGGTAATTAATATATTATAATAGCAGGGTTATTTTATTTAGTAACGGCTACGGCCGGCTATAGTTAGTTATAAAGTTTTATTAAAGTACGTAATAAAGATATTTAATATTAACCCTGATAAACTAGCTTGCTTATAAAGGCGAAGATGGCCCCTAATGAGGCGGACCGGACCCTAAAGGGATATTTAAAGTATATTCTAATTATAATTAATAATAAGTATTTATATTTATATTTTAAATACTTTAATATATTAGTAATATTAATATAAAAATAAAGTATAATAAATTTAGTTTATTAGTTATAAATTTAGAAAGATTAAAAGAGATATTAGTTAGTTTATTAAAAGATATAAACCTAGTTTAAATAGTAATGTATCTTATTAAAGGACTAAGATCTATACTGAATGTGAACTACCTAGAGATCTACGAATTTTATACACGATCTCTTAATGTTATGAACCTACCAGGGTTGTCCTGTACTTTTATTACCGTGCGCCTTACCGCGATTTCTCTTCTCAGCTATCATTCCTCTCTGCATCATTTCTTACATAATACTCATGTTCAGACGGCGATGTTAACGGTTACTTAGGATGTAGTGGTTACCAGTGACTGTTGTCTTTGCCCTGTTCACTTGAGGTGATTGCCAGCGGCCCAACCAATGGTATGACTGGACCAGAGCAAAACCCGTCCCGATTCGGCAACTCGTACAGTATCACGAAACTCAAACCCGACGTGCACCAGTACTTTGCCATAACCTCGTGACTCGACTGATTGGCGAACAAACTCCCTGGGAGTGTGTCTCACGGTCACTAACAAGAAATACATGTCAAAAAAAGTAGCCTTCAGTGTTGACCGTGCACACTCCGTACTCTACCTTACACACCCGAACTTCCACAGACGACACACGTCGTCTGGAGATTTTGAGACGATGCTGCGCTCAAGCACACGCAGGCGAGATGAATCCTCTCGTCTGAACGGTGAGACGTCGTCTTCACAGCCATGCGGCGCGCGGTTGCGCGATGTGCGGGGTACGGGATTACATCACATGTGAAATGGCGGGGTCATTTAAAAAGACAACATGCTCCTCCCCTCCTGCAAAACACGCGATTTTGAAAATGTTTTTGTTTTACGATTTCAATTCTACAAACACGGATCGCTCAAGACCGCATTGTTTCCCTTTTCACAGGTAACAGGATATCGTTACGCAAGGTAGGTAGTTTTACACAAGGCGTTGGAGGGGGAGGTTTTGGTGGGTTTCGGGGTTAGCTCTCCACTTTATATCAACACGTAACAACAACAGCAACATCATTCAACACAACCGATCTCCAGTGCGCGCTTCTACTGCTTGTAAGCGCTGGGGCCGATCATGAGCTCGGGGCGGACGAGCTTGTCAAAGTCCTCCTCGGAGAGGGCGTTGAGCTCGAGGGCGGACTCCTTGAGGGTGAGGCCCTTCTTGTGGGCGTTCTTGGCGACCTTGGAGGCCATGTCGTAGCCGATCTTGGGGTTGAGGGTGGTGACCAGCATGAGGCTGTGACAGTGTTAGCAAATAGACGCACAATCCTACAGATAACATTGGTGACTTACGACTCCTTCATGATGCTGGCAATCTTCTCCTCGTTGGCTTGGAGGCCGACGACGAGGTTCTTCTCAAAGGAGCGCATGCCGTCGGAGAGGATGCGGACGCTGTGGAGAAGGTTGCGGATGACCAGGGGCTTGTAGACGTTGAGCTCGAACTGGCCGTTCATGCCGCCAATGGTGGTGGCGACGTGGTTACCCATAACCTGGGCGCAGACCATGGTGAGGGCCTCGCACTGGGTAGGGTTGACCTTGCCGGGCATGATGGAGCTGCCGGGCTCGTTCTCGGGGAGGTTGAGCTCACCAAGACCGCAGCGGGGGCCACTGCCGAGGTAGCGGATGTCCTGGGCGATCTTGGAGAGGGAGGCGGCGAGGGTGTTGAGGGAGCCATGGGCCTGGACGATGGCGTCGTGGGCGGCAAGGGCCTCGAACTTGTTGGGGGCGGTCTCGAACTTGGTGCCGGTCATCTTGGAGACCTCCTCGGCGATGCCCTCAGCGAAGCCCTGGAAGGTGTTGATACCGGTGCCGACAGCGGTACCACCCTGAGCGAGCTGGCGCAGGTCGGGAAGGGAGGACTCGACTCTCTTGATGCTCTGGCTGAGCTGGGCGACGTATCCGGAGAACTCCTGCCCGAGGGTCAGGGGGGTTGCATCCTGCAAGTGAGTGCGGCCAATCTTGATAATCTGCTTGGCGTCGAACTCGTCAACCTTCTTCTGGAGCGCATCGCGGAGGCTCTTGAGGGAGGGGAGGAGCTCCTGCTCGATCTCGAGAACGGCGGCGATGTGCATGACGGTGGGGAAGGTGTCGTTGGAAGAGGCGGAGCGGTTGACGTGGTCGTTGGGGTGGACGGGCTTCTTGCTGCCCTTGACACCGCCGAGAATCTCGATGGCGCGGTTAGAGATGACCTCGTTGGCGTTCATGTTGGACTGGGTGCCGGAGCCGGTCTGCCAGACGACGAGGGGGAAGTGGTCGAGGAGCTTGCCCTCGGCGACCTCAGCAGCGGCCTGCTGGATGGCCTTGCCAACCTTCTCGTCGAGGCCGTAGCGCATGTTGACGGTGGCGGCGGCGCCCTTGAGGATACCAAAGGCCTTCACGATCGGGGGCGGCATGCGGTCCTGGGGCTGGTTGATCTTGAAGTTCTCGAGGGAACGCTCAGTCTGAGCACCCCAGTACTTGTCCGCGGGGACCTGGATCTCGCCAAAGGCATCGCTCTCGGTACGGGTTTCGGCCATTCTGGGAGCAGTGGTGTGAATGCTTCTCTGGAGGGAGAAAGGGCTGGTAAGGTTTGTTGATCTGGAGTTCGTCGCGGGGTAAAGAGCTGCGGGGGAAGAGGAGGTGTATCGGGTCGAGCATGTGGAGAGGCTCTTTGCGCATGTCCTCGGCATAACGGTAAGCCGTGTGTTTGCCAGGCCGGAAGCGGCGCGACGAGCTGGTGCCGATCGAAGCATGGCGGGCGGTTTTTTTCTGTTGGTGGTTGGAGAAAGGGTCTTGGAGAGTAGAAACGCTGGTCTAAGTCGCAATTTCTAGCTTATACGGAGCCAATTGAAGCTTTGATGACCTCGATGGGTGACGAGAAGGAGTGCGTGAAGTTATTGCCAGATTAACCAAATAGATCTCCAAGGACGAGAGGAAGGAGAAAAAAAAGGTCTCGTTTTTGCCGGCTCAATAATTAACAGGAGTTCCATCACCTCCGAGTTCGTTCCGTTGGGGGGAGCTCTGACACTGTGGAGCTTGATTGTGGCCCGTGCAGCCCGGCTTATCCCGATAACCCGAATGCACAGCAACGACCACCGGCGGCCCTGCCTTTGGCCGAAAGTCTCCGGTTCCCAGTGCCTTACATAATCAACCGAGAGTGGGGAACATATTGTGGTGGAAGATTATGTAAGGCGTCTAGGAGCTCCTGTGCTCTCGTTGACGGAATCCTTCGGCTTTTCATCCCACCCGCCGTGTCACCATCTAGTGTAGGTCCCGAGCCGAAATCGTCGACTTCGACCGGAATCCCAGCGTGCCATCGTCACTGGTGCAGCAGCGGCAGCACGCACTCGTTCAGCCCCCAAAGGCCCTTGCATCGTCCGCAGCGGGAGCATGTTGATAGGACGAGTAGGGCGACATGGCGGGGATCCCGGCCCCGCTCCGCTGCAGCATGTCATCACAACACAAGACGGCCCGTTGGGAATTGCTCTCGAGTTTGCAGAAGCACCCGTTCCCTCTTCGCCGCTGCCGCCGCCCACGGGGTCGGAGAGCTTAGCTTCCCTGGAGGAACCCGTTGCCACGGACTCGCCGCCGTTCACAGCCTTCCTCTCATGCCCACATTGACGGTTGACCCCAGCCCGCCCCCTGGCTTTCCGGGGGCTCTGTCCTGAGGGTCTTGGTGCACGCAGGACGCAGTACGACAGAAAGGCGGTGTTGGCAATCTTTGAGGGGCCTTTAGATTTGAGGCCATCGCGGCCATTGGACCAACCGGCGCAACCACATAGCCATTAGCGCCTGACGGTCTACCTAGACGGACAACTTTTGATCAGCAGATTCAAGAGACACTGCTACCTCATGATGCCAGGCCGGTGCTGCAGGTAATGTCATGAAGCATTACTCGCCAGTAGCTCATACGACACATTTCCCGCCAAGCTAGGTAGCCACCGAGGAGTCAGAACAGGGGATAGACGATGCGAGCTCCATTAGCTTACTGCATGGTACCGCAACAGCTGTTGCTAACCAACTGACTTGCTGCTGATGCTGATGCCGTCCTGGTCAGGATGGGGAAGAGACGCTATGCAACTGGGTGGGTTTCACATCCTTCAGCCCAACTCTTCTCCTTTTGGGTGGCTTGCTCATTGCTCACTCACCCCATTTTCCCATGCCTACCCTTACATTAGTGCATCTATCTGTCTCCTTTCCTTTCTTTTACATGCATCCACAGCCTCCTCGTCTTTCGTTTCGTATCCAACCCTATGCTCGAGGCTCCAAGATCTGTACAAGTACTTGAAGTCAGCCGCACGCTGGTCAATTGAAGTTAAGAGAGCACGCGACATCTCATCTCTTCTCTCTCCCCTCTGATATATAAGAGCAAAAAAAAAGAGGAGCTCCCGTCGCCCTACGCCCACGGTCCCTGTCCCACACACACACACACTTGGGCCAGAGAGTGCCCCTCATTGCCTGTCCCGCACGTTTTGTCTCAACTTCAAGCTCCAAAACCCCACCTCGATTCCCGTCAACTCGCATTTTCGCAGCCAAGTTCAGACTCAACAGCGACAAACCCAGTTTGAGTGTCCAGAGTCTCCAAGCAACTACCATGTCTCTCCAGGTTGACGACCGAGGCCGTCGCACTCGTTCGCGCTCACCGGGCCGTCGCGAGCGCAGTCGGAGCCCCGCGGTCCCCGCCATGGTTGATCCCCCGCGCGAGCCCAGCTATGCTTACCCGGAAGACGATCTCGATGGTGGCAGATATGGACGTGAAAGGGGAGGCGCCAACGTCGTCACCGCAGAGCCGGGCGCCAGCCGCGCCATGTCCGGAGCCATTCCTTACCCAGAGGACGGCAGCGACGCAATGTTTCCAGGCACCAGGTCACTCTACGACTACGACGACCCGCGCGGCAGTAATCCTGCTTACCGTCCGCCCCCATCCCCGCAAGACGACTACTACCGCAACTCGCGCGAAAAGTACGACGAGCCCCGCGATGACGACAAGCTCAAGTATCTGCCCGCAAAGTACAGCAGTCACGGTCGCAGCAACAGCAAATACGGCAACGAGGCCGAATACGCGCCTCAAAAGCCGCCTCGCCCTGACGCGGGCGACCTGTACCCCCCAGCGAAGCCCCCTCGCCCTGTGTCGCCCGGCGGCTACGCTTACGCTCAGCCGCAGCCCTACGAATACGCAAAGACCGACGACAAGGCTAAGAAGAAGGAGGAAAAGAAGAAGGCTCTGGAGGAGAACCTCGCATACGGCTTCGACCCCAATGCTTCTAGACCAGGCGGCCTCGCTCCTGAGCCCCGATACTCTGGTCGCGCACCGAGTCCAGGGCCACAGATCTCAGCCGGCGCCGCGCAGTACTACGCCAACGACCCGCGCGTCTCGTCCAATGTCTTGACGGTCGAACCCGGCAGCCGCAGGCGGGACAAGTCGCCCCAGCCGCCTACTCACCGCATGTCGAACCTATCTGTAAACACTGGCCACCACTCCATGAACGTGAGCATGTCGCTGGCCAACGCACCGGGGTCGCCGCTGCTGGAGTCGTACCACGGTACCTATCAGGACATGTCACCCATGCCGTCACCCATGCTGCTCCCCTCATCACACGACCTGCAGGTCATGGAGCCCCTCTCGCCAATCGGCTCCGACGATGAGGGCCGACGACGCCGCCGTGCGCGGTTCCACGACATTGAGGACGATGCGTCGAGAATCGCAAAGGCGCTACGCAGCGACAGGAAAAACCCGGACCCGGAGCCTTTGATTGAGATCCTGCCCGGCCTCACCCATGACCAGGTCATGGACCTCCGCAAGGAGTACAAGGCCCTCGTCAAGACGGGCGCCGACCGCAAGGGCGTCAACGTCGCCAAGCACATCCGCTCCCGCCTCAAGGACTCCGACCCGAACCTGATGAAGGCCTGTTACGCCACGGCGCTCGGCCAGTGGGAGAGCGAGGCGTACTGGGCCAATTTCTGGTACCAGGGCGACAAGACGCGCCGGGAGCTGCTCATCGAGTCGCTCATGGGCCGCACGAACCACGAGATCCGCCTCATCAAGGACGGCTTCAGCGATAAAAAGTACGACAACAGCCTGACAAAGTGCATGAAGACGGAGCTCAAGGAGGATAAGTTCAAAAAGGCCGTGCTCATGGTGCTCGAGGAGCGCCGGATGGAGGAGTATGATCCTTATGGTCGCCGCCTGGCTATTGACTATCACTCGGTTGAGGACGACGTCTCGGACCTGCGCAAGGCCGTCAAGTCGGAAAAGGGCGGCGAGTCGCTCATGATTAGCATCGTCGTGCAGAGGAGCGACTCACATCTGCGCGAGGTACTCAAGTTGTACGAGCGGACGTACCGTACCAACTTTGCCCGCGATGCGCTCAAGAAGAGCGGCAACCTCGTGGTGAGTAATTTCCATGGTTACACAAAGTTAGACCCAGAACTAACCCAGCTTGTCTTCGTAGGGAGAACTCCTCGCCCACGTCCTCAACGGCGTCATCAACAGACCCGTTCGTGACGCTCTGCTAGTCCACCACGCTCTCACGGCAAGCCGCAAAGATGACCTGCGCCGCGAGCTGCTCATCTCCCGCCTCGTCCGCTTCCACTGGGACCGTCACCACCTCGAGGCCATCAAGCGCGCCTACCGGGAGCGTTACGGCCGCGACATGCAGGAGGCCGTCCGCGAAGGCACCAGCGGCGAGTGGGGCATGTTCTGTCGGGAGTTGTGCATCTATCGCATGCCCGACCAGGTGAAGAGCTACGAAAAGGTGCCGGCGCAGGTGCGGTGAGAGATTTCTGGAAATCAAGATGAGGAGCGGAAGGGGGAATAACTTAATTTCATGAAAAGATTGATGATGGGATATAATGAGACCATGGGAGATGGGAGGTTATTTGAATGAAATATTGATATCATATTCTTAACTCGTAATGTCACTTGAACCAGGCCTTCCGCGAGCTTTTCACCATGAAACTCGCTCCTTGGTGTAAACCCTCATCACGACCGTGGGTGACCCTGAAATCGAACAGCCTTCACAACCTCATCCCTCCTAGCAACGGCCGTCTCCCCCAGAGCATACGAACTCCCCTGCGACCGATCATCCATCTCCCCAACCCTCTCACTAACATCCGATCTCCTCTCCCAGCTCCTCGCCCGTCTCCTACTTCCAGGTTCGACATTACCCCTTCCTCGATCATCGCCGCGCCGTTGATCATGATGATACCCGCCGCCACGATCTATACCACGCTCATCGCCGCGTCGTCCGTCGTCATATCCGCCACCGCCCCTGAACTCCCGTACCCCTTCATCCCCACGGCCGCTATGCATAACATACCCATCCCTCCTATCTCCGCTAACCCCCCTCCTCACACTCCGGCTTCGACTCCGACTCCTATCCCTACTCACAGTCCTACTTCTGCTCCTCGTCAAACTCCTGCTCCTACTCCTACGCCTCTCACCCCTCCACCTCCCATCATCACCCTCGCGCCGAACATACACATGCCGAACCCTCTCACGGAAGTACCTCCCTCCATCGCGAGATCTACTTCTTGCTCCGTCCTGTGGCCTTCTCCACTCCTCATCGCGAGATCTGCTTCTCCGAGGAGGGGGAGGAGAAGCCTCATACTTCTTAACTGGGAATAACAGCCATTCACCCCGCGAAGGGCTAAAGACCTCTTTATGCCTCAGACCATGGTCTCCACTACCAGAATTATGGTGATAATAACTCCTCGGGCCGTGTCTCGGTATATGTCGTTGTCCCCTTCCCCCTCTTCGGGGCTCCCTCATCGTATACGGCCGTCTTAAATCTCCGCAAGACCCAGTGCTGGTACAGTTATGCCTCCTCATCGCATTTGTAGGACCTAAGAGGCATCCTCGTGATCCGCGTAATCTATCGTCGACCTTGAATCCCCATCTCTTTGGATCTTGCTGTTCCACATCATTAGCGACATTCAAACACAAACAACAAACGTCTTTCTCCTTTAGTCTCAGCCCTCACCTCTCCGCAAGACCTCAGAAGGCAAGACCCAAATAAAAAGGTCACAGAGAAGGAAACACCAACCTCACCAGGACACCTCGAAACACCTACAACATCACCACCCCACTCCCCCAGCTTCTTCACAGGATAAAGCTTACTCCAGAGCCCCTTTCCCTTCTTCTTCTTCCTCCTCTTCTCACATGTCTTGCACTTCTTCCCCGTCTCACACTCCTTACACTTCTTCTCCCTCTTGCCTCCACAATCCCTTGGTGTCATCCTCCCACCAACCTCGCATCCAAATTCAATCCCACAACCCCCCCTTCCCCCTCCAGCCTGCAACCCATACCCACCAGCACAATACCCCACCATCTCAAAGCAACATTCATCTTCCTCCCAACACCCTCCACACCCTCCACGCCCGCCACAAACATCATCCTCCTCCTCGTCCGAAGTCGTCTCTGACTCCGAAGTATCTTCACTCCCGTCATCATAGTAATAATATCCCCCACCACTACCCCCAGCCCCACCAACTAAACCTACATCAACACCTTCCTCGATAACACCCTCGTCATCAAGACAAATCACCTCGCCTCCAACATCGCTGAGTCCCCCGACTGGTACCCGCTGTCGAAGGTCCGTCATCTCCAAAAGAAGAGTGTG